ATATATATATTTTATTTTGAACCTCCAAGTATGGCACTTACATACATGCCTAAGCTACTTGGTTTCCCTCCAACCCCTACTACTGAAACAGCTTACAAAGCAGACTGCTTGGCGTATAACTTAGGTGTGACTGAGATACCAATGCAGACTTTTTGCAGTCAACCTCGTTTGGTATTCGAGTGAAAGTGCGAAGCGTACGGCCCACCTGTCCACCTGTGTTCAATTGACTGTTTTATTGCCGTATCATTGTGTTGATTCATGATTGCCATGACATCATAATGTGTGAATTTCTTTTTATTATAGCCTATAAAGATTCATTCTACAATAGCTTTGTTGTTGCTATAACAAATATGAAAATCAATCAATGATCAAGTCAAAATATCTTTATTCATGCAGGTCTATATGATATGTCAAATCTACCGTCAGTTCGGAGTACTTTCGAGTTAAGAACTGACAAGAAACTCAGCTCTTACTCTTTTCAAATGAGCTAGTACGTGATAATTATATACATAGATACTTAATACAGATACTTGTATAGACGTCTATTATTGAGCGCAGTGACAGAAGTTTTATAAAACAAAATGTATATACAGAACATCTTATTTTGAATATGGATAAAAGAATATATAAAAACTGAGAGTGATTCTCATTGTAGATCTTACAATTAATAATTTAATTAGGGAGAATATAGTGTCCACCAGCATATGCTATTGTATTTTTATCAAAAGGAAATAATAATTTAAATAGTAGTAAAATCAAAATTTTACATTTATTCCCTAATTAAAAATAATGTACTTTTTTTTACTTTAAAACAATATAATAATCTTGATTAAAATAAACTTATACAAGCGCTTTTGAATTTTGAATATTTCTATGATTATACCAACCATTCGGTTTTTGTTTTCATTCATTCATTCATAATTTAAGAGCTACGCTCTTGTCGGTGGAGCTCTTGCCACTTTCCGCGATCTTCCATCATGCTCTTTAATTCTTGATACTACACGACTCCTAACTTTGTCCTCAATTTGTTTGATGTAGCTATTCCTTGGTCTTCCCCTTCCCCTCTTTCCTTCTATTTTCCTCTCAATAATAATTTTCATGAAATCATCGTGCCGTATCAAGTGCTTTTTTGTTTTATTTGGTTTTATTCGGTTATTGGTTTTTGTGAGTACAAACAGTCAAATAGCATGATTGACATAAGTATGCTATTCAGGTAGCAAAAAAATCAGTCATAGTTACCATAAAGTTGATGGTGCAGTTCATAATATAACAAGTAGAGGCATGGCATTTGGGTAACAAAAGAATGACTTAGTTAAACTGGTTCATGTAATTGCAATATGATCGATGTGATCTCTCCAAGATAATGTGTTTACTAAACAATTAATTATTGTTTTCCAGAAGAGATTGTTTACAGTAAACCAACTGGTTAAGTTATTGCTAACGGTAAATTGTTTACCAACAAACTGCCCGTTCGATTTTATCTTGAAATTTCAAGGTTTGTAATGTCAGAATCTTGTCCCTTTTAATATTGTACACTAATCTAATCGAATCAAATCAATTAAAAAATAACTTATTCATGTAGGACATTTTAGCCGTTTATGAACGTCAGCTGCTAGCGGTAAGGAATTTAACTAATATTTTTGGATAATAAAAGCAGTCCTAAGCTAAGCAGAGCTTGTGTTATTGGTACTACACAACTGATATAAATACATAGACACATTTTTTATATGTACATAGAAAACACCCATATCGATAGAAACAATAATACTCATGAATACACATGTTTTTACCGTGCGAGGAATCGAACCCGCGTCAATCGGAAGTAAGACAGTATGCTAAACCAGTAGACCACCGAAGTTAAATGCACACGGGCGAAGTTAGTACAAGCACAGATAACATAATATGACATATACAAGCAACTATCTAGATACCAATTTATTATGGATGATAATGGCAGGGTGCACCCGCCAGGGCTAACGGTTTACGTTGGCCGTGCACCAGTAGAGGATGACAAGATGAACATGAGGTCAGGTCAGTTATAAATCCCGTCATGATCAATTCACCAGAAATTTATGACTATGGATTCCAGGGGGGACCGCGTGGAGGTCAACCTGTACTGTAGCATTATACACCACTATAGCATTATGTATGATGTGACGAGGAATATATAAGTAGTAAGTGGTCTTCTACGCTGACAAAAAAAAATTGTCAAAAGGGAATGTTAATATCGACTCCATCCCACATTACAAACAATCTCTTTCTCTCGCTACCAATTAACTGATTTTAAGACAAGTGAAAACAAAAGCTACCGATGTAAATAACGAGAGATGAAGGTGCCGTTGTTTGCAGTGAAAGTATCTGCCCATTGACTGTGACCGACAGATAGATAGACAGTATCATATTAATAGCGACTTTGCTAATATTATGTCAAAATACTACCATTCAACATTCCACCCTAACGACCGAGCATTAAGCATCAAAGTCATTAAACAAACGTAAGCAATTTTATACCTACATCAAGAAAATTGTTGGTACCTATAATTTTATTACTGAACACCTGTTGGTCTCATTATATAGCAGATTATATGTATTGTTTTATTTTTAGAAATGTTTTATTAAGTTCGTATCATTCTTTGAGATCGTTTTATTTCAGTTTAAGAGCGGTCATTAGTGACCACGTGCTGTGTTTTCTTTTATTATTCAAAATCAATGATGTTGTTTATAATTTCTATGATTACTTTAAAAAATATTTTCATACGGAATTAATATGGTAATTGTCATTAGAAATATTATATTTAAGGACAATTCACACAGCGCCATCTAGTCCCATGCTAGGCTGAGCTTGTGTTACGAATACCTACTAGACAAAGGATATAAATCCTTAGATATATTTATTTTTGTAAATACGTACACAACATTCATAAAGAGGTTATTTTTTATAATATATATAATAAGCATGGATAATTAACACTGCACCATCTAGTTCCAAACTAAGCTGAGCTTGTGTTATGAGTACTAGACAACTGATATATGGTAAATACTTAGGTAGGGGGAAGAGGATTGTTAGTAATGTGGATTGATAACCCCATTGCAGCACATGTCATCTAATCCCTGGAAACCATCATATTAAATTCCTAGTGAATTTGCAACGATGGGTTAACTAACATGACCTCATGCTCATCTTATCAGACAACTGATATATGGTACAACCCCTCAAAAAAAAAATACTTAGGTAGGTATATTTTTTTTGTAAATAATTACATAATGTACATAGAAAACACCAAACAGATTCAAATGATCACACTCATGAATACAAATGTTTGTACCATGCAGGAAAACCGGTGTGCTAAACAGCTAGATCACCGAGACCTTTCAAAGTTTGTACAAAGTCTGCGTAAAATATTCGAGGTAAAATGACGAGGCAAATAGATTTTCTATTGTATCTTAAATTGGCAACATTTTTTTTTTGTAAATATATACGTGATCTGATATTACGGCCTAAGCCGGCGTTCCCTCAGACTAGAGTCGTATCCGTCAGGCGGGAGTTCGCCTTCAGTCGCTCCATAAGTCGTTCCGCGGGTTTGGAGTGTCATCTGCATTCGCCCCCTATCGCCCAGTGAAGCTGTAAAGGCCAGCTGCGGCCAACAGCTTTAGAGTAGTCTGAAAAAAACATACATAATATACATAGAAAACACCCAGACGGATTCAAACAATCACACTCACGAATACAAATGTTTGTACCATACGAGGAATCTAACCCACAACCATTAGACCGCTAAGCGGTGTGCTAAACCGCTAGACTACCGAGGCCGTTCAAAGTTTGTACAAAATACTCGAAGTAAAATGACGAAGCAAATCGGTTTTCTATTGTATCTTAAATTGGCAATTAGATCTGTCCAATGCACTACAATTTGTCGCAACACACTTATTATTACGTGGGTAAATCTCAGTGATTGCTATAATTCAAGTGTTATTATAGAAAACAAGTTGTCATTAAGTATTAGAAAATTGTTGGTCGTTTCGTATCTCGTCTCGAAACAATCAACTTTGATAAGTACAAGTGGATACTTGTTATGTTTGAAACTTTCATAGAAATGCTGGTAAAGTCAGTCGTGCGACGCTTGTATTCTATTATGGTAACAATATAATATATAATGTATAACGTTGGGAAACTTAATATATAAATAATCTTACTAATTTAAACGCGAAAGTTTCTGAGTATGGATGGATGGTTATTTGTGCCTTTTTTACGCAAAAACTACCGTCTACTAACTTTTTATGAAACTTAACAGTAATATTGCTTATAAATCAAATTAATAAATAGGCTACAATTTAAAAAGACATTGTAAATTGGGCGAAATATAATGGTAAATGTCAAGTAAGTATGATGCAGACAAAGTTTTGCGGATCGGCTAGTATACAATAGTATTAAGATATTGTCACAGACTATGTAATCAATTTACGCTGTAGTTAGGTACGTTGGATCTGTAGCACTGGGCCCTGCATAGATCTACTGTGCTCGCACTTTTTTCAAAATTCACTACCTAAACCCGTTAGGGACAAGAATTGAAGGATATTCTCAGGAGCGATGGTTTTTATCTCCTTAGGATAGACCGTGCACTTTCCAAAGGTGATATCACACAGGATATGTAATAGCATTTCCTTTTCAGCTTAGCAAATACTGCATTAACATTATCTATCAATAACATTTCTATTTAAGTATTGATTCGAGTAGCCCGTTATTCGGGTTATTTTTATTAATAATCTAGCTATTCGCCCCGGGTTCGCACGGCCCCGGCCCTGTACCTGTATTATATATATAAACCTTCCTCTTGAATAACTCTATCTATTAAAACAAAACTGCTTCAAAATCCGTTGCGTAGTATGTACAGGGACAGACAGAGAGCGAAAGCGACTGTGTTTTATACTATCTAATAATGATATTTAGTTTGAATAAATTATTATACTTAATCATATTTCTTTATTGGTTACAGGTACTCAAGCGTGTAATTGAAGAAGATAGAACAGAACAAAGATGTCTATAGAAGATTTATAACAATATCAAATATAATAGTTTAATGCTACACATGTATTTACGGTTACTAAATTTAAACAGATAATAAATAGTATGACGAACTGTAGTTAACACGAAGTGTTTAAATTCAAAATGGCGTCGTTAAAAGTGACATTATTCAGTGTTGTGTGCTGTGCAGTGTTAGTGCATGTTAGTGGGCATGTGGCACTTACGTACCCGCCTGCTAGAAGATTCGATTTGGACTTTTTGGATAATTCTAGAACAAAACCGCCATGTGGAATGCCAAAAGGTAATTTTAACTTATTTATTTACTATCTATTCGCCCCGGTTTCGCACGGGTATACTTGTATTATATACCTTCCTCTTGAATCACTCTATCTATTAAAAAAAAACACTTTAAAATCCGTTGCGTAGTTTTAAAGATTTAAGTACATTGGGATGGACAGACAGTGATAGCGACTTTGTTTTATACTATGTAATAATTAGCCATAGAGTGGGGTAGGTATTTTTTAATTTTTTTTTTATGTACTGTACTAAGTTGCAACACCGATTTGGATTGGTATAACCAAATCGGCATATATCATAATATTAAACTCGGCTACATAAAAATTTAATTAATGACACAACTTAAGCATTTCAAAATTTGCCTGCTTTCCTTCTTCTCCTTATTAAAAATACTATGTGACATTTAGATTGTTCAAAACCTACAGAAGTATAAATTACTACACATGTAGTAGTGTTTCAGCTATTTGGCAACACTGTCATGTATAACGTCGAGTTATTGTACTTGTTAAGTTGGGATAAAAATAACTTGTATCCAGAGCCGTAAATATATTAATAAAAAAAAGATTTATGACATTAACACACAAAAAATATAAACACTGCTACAAAACTAGAACATGGCGACACCGCGTGTCCGTGACACTATAAATAAACCTTTCAATTCAATAATTTGACATCTACAATAACTGTTTAATGTAATATAGTATATATTTATATCTAACCAATTGATATTCATAACTGCATTATTTCTTTGTTATGACTTGACCACTGATGTAAAAAATATTACCTATAATTAATTATTGACTAATGTTAATTACAATTAATTGTCCTGAGATATTATATTATTATTACCACTGTTAGCGGTATGATTATAGCAGCTTTATTTATATGCCAGTTTTGTTGTATATAAGTATTTTGTTGTAATAAAAGTAATTTACAGACAGATAAAGTAATGAAAAACAGTATAAAAAAAATAGTGACCAGAAGTAAGTACAATAGTTTAGAAGCATGCCTGCAGGAGAAGCCATTTTTGTAGTTAGTTTTTCCCGCGCAAATGCAACGCGCCACAGATGCACAATATGCAAGGCGCGCAGCCGCAGTAGGATGACGAGCGCGTCATGGCAGTATGTGCGATGTTAATACTATGAGTATTAACACCACAGATAACATAATATTTTATTATCTACTGGCTGCCCCGCGCAACTTCGTCTGCATCACACTTACTTAACATTTATCATTATATTTCGCCCAATTCACATTATATTTTTCATCCTAGCAATCTCCAAAAAAACGAGATGATTTGAAGAGAAGACCGCGTTTGACGAGCATCATTAGGAAGCCAGAAACTCTTGCTTCCTATAAGTTAAAAGAGATTAACAATACATAAGTGTACAGTGCATACATGCGAAAACTTTTTATGATTAAATTTTATATTTAAATATTACATCTATTATACACTTTAATATAATATTTTATGTATAATATATGTGTAATTATGAAAATATGTATAATATAATATATATACCCTACAGTGAAAACTTTTATTAAAAACTTCCCCCATATCGAATCGCAGTGGGAGCCTAAGAATTAAAATAAATCCAAATATATACGTATAAAAAAAAGAAATAACTGTGAAACAAATAAAAGAAAAAAAAGAGAAGACCGCGTGGAGGTCAACTTGACATGGTGCATTTCTACCAATAGGGTTATTAGTACTGTTGTCGTGTTAATAACGTATTGTAGTTTTATTATATTTGTACAGGTAAAAGAAAAAAGATTTGGTATACAGAGAAAAATTATATTAAGATAGACTACTGACATATAACAGAACAGAAAGAAAGTAACAAACAAGAATCTACAAAAGGAACTATAAATTTTAAATACAAATTTAGAATATAAAACATTTCTTCATTAATCAGTTACAACAAGTACCTACTAAACCCCTTCTCCAATATAGGTGACAGTTGAGCACACTGACCTGGCCACCACCAAGTTTGAATGAACGAGCATGACTGTTTCAAGTTACTCCACTACGTCATTTATATTATTTACAGCATAGGCTGTAACAATCACAGTTTTCCCCCATTACAATATTTGTTCTTTATTCTTTATTGTATACACACAGGAAAAAAAATAGCAGTAATAAAATATATGTAATGTACAAGGGCGAGCTTATCTCTAAGAAGAAATTTCTTCCAGCAAACCTAGAAAATGTTATAAGATAATTTGGTCATTGGAATCAGCCATACATACGTGTACGAGTAAAAGAAAAAAAAAGGGAAAGCAAGACATTAAAATTATATAAATATTAATAAGTCACACTATAAGAAGGAATAAACATACACAAATATATAAATATATAGACATACATAAATTGTACATAAATAATATATAAGGTTTCGGTTAATATATAATTGTAATACATATATATGTATAATAATATATACCAATCCTAGAGCTGTACTTGTTAAGTTTTTAATAGGCCGTCGGCTTATTTTCTATTGCAGTTACATAAAAAAAACCTCTTCTATAATCTAGGCCCGACCTCGTAGCCTAGGTCAGGTCATTGCACTCAGACCTGAGTCATCTCGCGTGTAATTCGCGATGGTACAGCGGCTATGGTACTCGTAGGTCACGAATTACTGTGGTGGCGGTTGATTGTTGTTATCTACCTTATGTTTATTGCATGGTTCAGTGATTTAAACAGTGATTCATCAATGTACCAAGATACTAGTGAAACTGTTCTTATGTAATTGTAAATATAGAATTGTTTTTATAAAATTAAATTATATATTTTATAAATAAAAGTATTTACCTATTTATGTAGGTATCATACAATAATTAAATAATAATCGAATTCATAAATTAATTTATTTTTATGTGTATACATGTATTTTTCACATATATTTTTGGTATCCGCGCTCCCAGCCCCCAAGATACGGGTCTGACCTAGTTTGAGGACTACAAATAGAAAAAATTGTATTGTCGTAAATATGTAAATGTAAATGTAGAATTAAAGAGATTGATGGAAAATCGTGAAAAATGACAAGAACTCCATCGATAAGAGCTCGGCCCACTTTGACAATTATAAAAAACTATATAAACTAATATATATAAAGAATAATAATAATCACAGGACAATTCACACAGCGCCATCTACTTCCAAGTTAAGCTAGTTAGAGCTTTTTTTTTGTATAATAATGGAATGGTGCACCCGCCTGCGCTAACGGTTTACGCTGGCAGGGCACCAGTGGAAGATGATAACATGAGCTTGAGGTCAGGTCAGTTAGCCCATCGTGACAAGCTCACCAGTCTCGTGACAAGATCACTCAATTTGTCACGATGGTTTCCAGGGGGAACCGCGTGGAGGTCAACCTGACATGGTACATTGCTAGTAATGGGTTCATTAGTCCACATTACTAACAATCCCATTTCCCCCCGCTAGCTAGAGCTTGTGTTATGGATACTAAACAACTGATACAAACAGATATACATTTTTCGTAAATACATAAATTTTATCTAAGGTAGTCTAGAGGTTTAGTACACCGCTATACTTTCGATGGTTGCAGGTTCGATTACTCGCACATAGAGTATGATTGTTTGCATCAGTGTTTTCTATGTATGTATTTAAAAAATATATATCTAAGTTTTTATATCAGTTGTCTAGTACCCATAACACAAGCTCTGATTTACTTGGGACTAGGTGAAGTTGTGTGAATTGTTACTGATAAGGGGCACTATTAGCCAGTTTTAGCAAGCAAGGGCTGAAAGTTTCTTGAGAAATAACTTTAATATCAACAGTGTTTAATATATATTTAATAAATTGCTTGTTTGTAGTAAATAGCGTCAACGAAAGTGTTACGTAATTTCGACAAAATGCGTCATGCAGTCGTGGCCGAGTGGTTAAGGCGTCTGACTCGAAATCAGATTCCCTCTGGGAGCGTAGGTTCGAATCCTACCGGCTGCGGGGTATCATTTTGTATTTTCATTGTGCTATTACAATTGTTGTCATCTAATATTCATTTAATAATAATTGTAGTTGTAACTTAATTTAAATATTGAATAAAGATCTAAAAGTTTTAGATGTAGGTAAACTAGCTATCAGCCCCATCATCACAAAGGGTGTACATGTATATTAACATTACTCTTGAATTATCTGCCTTTAACCAAAACCTGCATTAAAATCCGTTGCGTAGTTTAAAAGATCTATGTGAACAGATAGCAGAAGCGAGTTAATTTTATACTATATAAAGATTAGGCCTTAGTACCAATATTGCGGTATTCCTTCCATACTAAAATCATCCACATTCATATGTGTAACACCTTCCTTAAAATATTCTCCTTCTTCTCTATCTTCAATCCTACGCATTACATGATTGTTTATAATGTGGACTAACAATCACATAGCTAGCAATGTACCACGTCAGGTTGACCTCCACGCGGTTTTCCCTGGAAACCATCCAAATTCATTGTGAATTAACCACAATGGACTAACTTTATGCTCAGATCTACTGAATATGCATATAAAATTTAATCAAAATCGGTCAAGCCGTTTGGGAAGAGTATGGTAACTAACATTGTGACACGAGAAATTTATATATAAGATTTCTTTATAATGTTGTGATTTTGCATATTTGACAGCTAGCACTATAGGTGCTATACAAATAAAGAGGTTAAAATAGTATCCCTGAACAATTCACACAGCGCCATCTAGCTCCAAACTAAGCAGAGCTTGAGTTATGGGTACTAGGCAACTGATATATATACATATACATGTTTTTTTTTTAAATACATATTATATATAGCAAACACCCAGACCGATACAAACAATTTATAGTCTTGAATACAAATGTTGGTACAGTGCGAGGAATCGAACCCGCGAGTATCGGAAATAAAGCAATGTGTTAACCGCTAGACCACTGAGGCCGTCACTAGATTATTCATCCTAAAATTGATTTTTGTACGTTTCCTGCGCGCGCAACCCCTATACCTACTGGTTTGTTATCTCGCCACTACGTCACAAGACCGTGTGGCCTAATGGATAAGGCGTCGGACTTCGGATCCGAAGATTGCAGGTTCGAGTCCTGTCACGGTCGCAGTAATATATCTTCTTTTTTTTCTTTATGTACTTAATTATCTTAATAATATTACAAACACAAAAGTATGGAAGTTTGTTACTCTTTCACTCAAAAACTACTGAACGGATTTTCTTTAAACTCTACAGTAATATAGCTTATGTATTAGAATAACACATAGGCTATATCTTATATTAAAATTTAACGCGGGTGAAACCGAGGGCACCGTTAGTATATTATAAAGAGATATTATGTGTTAAATGTCATTGACCCCCTCGTTGTAAATTCACCAGGGATTGACCATGAAGGTTTGCAGAGGGTACCGCGTGGAGGCCAACCTGAAATTGTATATTGCTAGCAATGGGGTTATTAATCCAGATTACTAGCAATATCCTTCCTCCTATAGGAGACGGTTATCATTTACTTTTAGGCAAGCCGTTAGCTTGTTTACCATTCAATTATAAAAAAAAACTATTCTCTTTATTGTATTTGTAACTTAAAATAGATTAACTTAGATTGTGGAATGAACTCCCTGCCGAGGTTTTCTCACGAGAGCATGGGGTTTTTCAAGAAGGGTATATTAAGGTTTCTTAAGGGTCGGCAACACGCACGTGACACCCCTGGTGCTTCAGGCGTCCATAGGCTACGGTAACCATTTCCATCAGATGGGCCGTATGCTTGATTGCCACCATAGTAGTAATATATATTATTTTATAAATTGTTTGTGTTATGTGTGTCAGTGTTAGATTCTTACGCCTTTCTTTTCTTTTTCTTTAGACTAATTTACTTACTCCTTGTCTAGGCAGATGTACAAGTATGATCTAAATCTGATATTAATTCATTTGAATGTTATTAGATACATTTAATTATAATTAAAAACATTTATTGCATATCTCTTGTAAGTATGGAGGTCTCTCGACGATTAATCAGACAATTCTTTAATATCCTTTGGCTCAGGTAAATCCGCGGTATTTCTTCATTTTAATAAACTGGCAAAATACAGTTTTTAAATTTAATAAATCTTTTCACTTATTAATATATAATGAAATAGTCGACATTCTGAAATTGTATGTAGTTTTATTTATGGAGCACTATTACATTATATAACAATATGATTTCAAAAAAGAGGTAATTATGCATGGGAAACGTCCCCGTTATAATTATGTAATGTTTTGTTATCGTAATAAATAGAAAAGACACCAACAATCCATTCTCATGGGAACAATTAGAGATTTGCGACATCTATGATTTATTTATGCAACTATATGTATTACTGACAAAGTACGCCCACCCGATAATAGATGGCGCTGTTCACATTTATGTATTTATAACTTGTTTTATTTTCTTTAAATAATTAATGTGGCAGTGTTGTTAAATTGTTATTACATTTTTATTTCCTTTTGTTTCAGGAACATTAAAAACATCGTTCCTGGCGGGATCCAACTTTACTGTACATTGGCATTTGGCATACGCACATCGGGTAAGTTACATGGAAAAGAATAAGTAAGGTAGATGACATTACATGTGAAAAAGCAATAGTGTAGATTAATTTCAACCTAATATTATTGTTGCATGAGTTCTATTATCCTTTGCTACTAATAACTTCATATTTGACACGTTCCTAACAGAACGGTCGTGGTCATTATATAGTGGGGTAAGAGTCTGATGTCTCCTGCCGTACGCAGTTTGCCATATGTCTCAAATAGCTGCCATTCTGGTACGCTTGTGGAGAGATTTTTCATCTAATTCTGTCAAAGTAAGTTCTGCTTTGCAAGATATGAAACACATCTAGCAAAGCAAGTAGCTGTAAAAAGTGAGATGTGAGTTAAAGTTCTGGGTACAGGGTATGACACTTTAATCTTCAGTACCTCTCATGAGTTACGATTCTTGAAGATAGTGTCCACGTAGGCTACCGTGTTTGCAAATAATGTTATATAAAAATTGTATTGTAATGTTGCAGGGCGGCTTCAGTTTAAGAATACTGGACGAGCTGGAGAGGCCCGTACTGGATTTGACTCCTCGAGCTGGCGGCACTGAATTCGTACGAGATGACGTCACGTAAGTAAACGTAAACGTTGTTCTGCCATATTAATAAAATCGCTAATAAAAATAGGGGATGATGGTAGAAGGGTGATAATTTGGGGTTGTATGTATTTTTAATGCCACATTATAAAAAAATTAAATAAAAAATTTTGTTGTTAAATATGGAAAAAAAATTTTTGGGCCACTCTTAACTCTTAGGGGTATAAAAATTAGTTATAAACCTATTATCAGACCTACTGAATCTACATATAAAATTTCATCAGAATCGGTAAGGCGTTTCAGAGGAGTACAAACACGAAACCTGTGACACGAGTAGAATTACTATAATATTGATTATAGTTTATACTTAGATTCTGATAAAACGTAACGCAGTCGCATCATTGGTTAACTTTACATATGTAATAAATTAAATAAAATGGAACGTAATATAGGCCAAATACTACGAGTAACTCCCGTTCCGTTACACGCAGTTATGTTAAATTAAAAAATCGAGTAGACAGATTTGTCTGCTTTTAAAAATTATTTACCTCCACCACTATACATTCGATCCCTGACCAGGACGTTTCTAACAAAATCCTGTACGGGACGGTAGGGACTAAAACTTGACATTCATCAGCGACTAAAATGTCCTACAGGAATAAATGATTTTTTATTTTACTTGATGGATATAATTCCCAATCTCTCTGACGGTATCGAGCCACTTAGTTTGAGGCGAGACTTCGCTTCGCTTTGTGTGTTCTACCGATTATACAACGGACTGTGTTCTGAGGAATTGTTCGACATGATGCCTACGGCCACCTTTCACCATCGCACCGCTCGCCATCTCCCTGTCGATGTGTCGATTCATTCCCACACGTTGGAACCTAAGTGGTCTCGGACAGTGCGATTTCAGAGGAGCTTCCCCCCGCGTACACTTAGATTGTGGAATGAACTACCTGCCGAGGTTTTCTCGAGAGACTACAGCATGGGGTTTTTCAAGAAGGGTATATTAAGGTTTCTTAAGGCAAGGTTTCTTAAGGGTCGGCAACGCGCACGTGACAACCCTGGTGTTTCATGTGTCCATAGGTTACGGTAACCATTTACCATCAGATGGGCCGTATGCTTGTTTGCCACCATAGTAGTATAAAAAAAAAAAAATTATGTTTCAGGGCACAGAAATATGAAGTGCGACTGCCGAATGACTTCACGTGTGAGAATTGTACCCTGCAACTGCAACGCGAGGCAGGAGAGTGGGGCGCCAACTATCGGTTCTGGTCCTGCGCCGATATTGACATACTGCCCAGTGAGTATAATTTAATATAATTATATATACATATATATAAATATAGTAGCTATAAATTTACTATATGGCAAACAAAATATTTTAGTATATCTACCGTTTTTGTATTCATATGCATGTAGTAAAAGCGGTTATTTGAATATTGCAAACAGACACTCCAATTTTATTTATATATATATAGAACATGACTAAATCAATCATCATCAATCATGATTATTTAGCGTAGTATTTACGATGGAGAATGACTTAACATTACTAATTATACTTTGTAAATATTATCATGTGACAGAAGAAGCGGGTAAAAGCTAGTTCATAATATTGGTACGATAGATAGTCATAAATTTTAATTACATATTTTAATTCAAGTCATTAATGATTTAACATTCGTATGACTCAATCGGAGTGTAATTATTCAGTAATGGATGCATGCATATGCATGAATTCAGGCTTGCATATGCATAAATAAGTTTCATAGACATACAATAAGTTTACATTATTCCTCTACACCAAGTCTATGAGTGTCTCTGTTTATTTGTACATACATATTTCATTGTGTATTAATATGCGGTTGAAACACTGCCGAAATATCGGGAACTCAACAAAAATAAAACGTAGTAAGAATAAGTAAGTGGTGATTTACTAATAGTAATATTTCAGGACAATTCACATAACGCCATCTAGTCCCACGGTAAGCAGAGCTTGTGTTATGGGTACTAGATAACTGATATGAATACATAGATACGTTTCTTTTGTTAATACAACCTTATACTTAGTTTTTTTGTTTTGTGAATGCATACAGAATGTATACCTATAGATAACAACCAGACCTATATAAAAATCATACAAAAATCAATCATGAATACAAATGTTTATACCGTTTAAGGAATCGAACCCGCGACCATCGGTAGTAACGTGGTGTGCTAAACCGCTAGACAGTCGAGGTCGTCAAAAGAATTATTCCATAGCTTATAAATCTATTAGAAATTGACAAGTTTTTAATATTCAAATTACACATGGTGTGGCCAGGGTCTTTTCAAAAACTCGTCCGCAAGATTATAATCGGCCTTGTCAATCAGAATTACTTAATTCCTGCATAATGTAGAGACAATGGCCCTTATAAATAAACAATATTAATTAGATATGCATCAACATACAGTTGTAAAAGCTCTCATGATTAAAATTGCTAATTAACCAATTTGTTCCACAAATAACAAGTCGTTTAACAATGCCGACAACATATCTGTATTTTTTTTAAAGAAACTTAAAACCATGCTGTTCTCTTTTATAATTGGAATGGTAAACAATATGACGGTCCACGTCGGTCGCGGGTTCGATTCCTCCGATCCAAATATTTCTATTTATGAGTATGATTGTATTGGTCTGGGTGTTTTATATGTATATTATGTATGTATTTGCAATAAAATGTATATTGGTTGTTATTACTTGGGACCAGATGGAGCCGTGTGAACTTTCCGGGGATATGTAATGTATAAAATTACCTGACTCTTGATTGATTCTTATGAAATTTTGTTGATAACTGTGGTTCACCCCCATATTTATTTTTTTATTTTTTTATGTTTATTTTCTATGATTCGACATTTTAAACCCATACAACCCAAATTTTCACCCGTCTATAAATGACGAGACGGCAAATGAAATAGAAGTAAACAGAATATGTAATGGGAAGATGATATTAAGAAAATAGCAGGTCCAGTATGGACTCGTAAAGGACAGGACAGAATGAAGACCTTTAGAGGAGGCCTATGTCGGAAGACAAGCTGTATCGTTTGTAAATTAGTTACTTTTTATATAATATCAGCAGACACGGCCACGCGTTGCTGTGGCTATGATACTTGAATAAAATATTGCGACTATAAATTGAGATGTAAGCTATCCTATCTTTCAAGTTGGATCAAATTGCACACAATGTGCAAATCAAATTTGCAATCGGTTCAGTAGTTTAGGAGACCATCGCGTACAAACAACGTGACACGAAATTTTATATATCAAGATTTTAATAACTATACGTAGAACTTAGTATAGCAACAAAGGTTTTTTTATTTTTATTTAATTAATATTTTCACAGGGAAAGAATACCACGAGACCTGCTCTGGCCATGGTTTCCACATCCTCGGACGCTGCAAGTGCAACAAGATGTACTACGGGCCCAGGTGTCAGTTCTCGGATGAATGTCTTGAAGATACTGACTGCGGCCTCCGAGGGAAGTGTATTGATATCAACGCTACAGAATCACCCAGCAAGATGTGCTATTGCCCATTTGGGTTCTATGGGAAAGGCTGTAATAAGAGTGAGTCATTTTTGTTATACTAGAATGGTAACCTTAAGGTCTGTCTGATGGTAAATGGTAACCGTTACCTTATAGGCTATCCATACATCAGTGGAGGGGGTCAGTGAGTCATATTTTTTTATACCGAAATGACAAACTGATGGTCCGCCTGATGGTAAGTGGTAACCATCGCCTATAAACCATAAAATTACGTAACAGGGCAGGGTCGACAAAGGGTGTAATTTTTTTTAATAGATGACAAATGTGCGCCTTCGCTAACGGGTTACGCTCGCGGGGCTCACACGGCAGTGGAGGATGTCACGATGAGTTTAAGGTCAGGTTAGTTAGTCTATAATGGCATATTTATCAGGAACTTATCACGATGGGTTCCAGGAAGAACCTCGTGAAGGTCAATTTGATATGGTACAACCTGATAGGGTCATTACTCAACATTTTTTGATATTTTGTTTGTTGGTCTGTGCGTTTGTTTGTCTCAGGAACCGCTCCCGGGTTTTGTGTATGCATCGTACATAAATGTTCATTTATATGTTTACATTTTACATGTTTATACCTTTTCAGAGGCACCATGGAAAGACAGGAACGTGAACTTAGCGCTGTACAGCAGGAAGGAACTGTCCAAACAGTTCAAACTGTTCTGGAGGGTACTAAAGGAGGACGATGAAATAGAAGTGGTGATGATAGTGAATGGCACAACCTATGCTGGTGAGTTGGTTGTAAAAATGCATTTCGAATAGCTAATAAGGTGATGAACTACCTGATGAAGAGCGATAATCATAATGAAAAAATATGAAGGACCTAAAACAATTTATGATGCCTTTCCTTACTTGCTAGACTATTCCTGAGGACTAAGTAAAGCCTGTAATTTCACTGTTATTTCTACTCTCCAAACTGAAACATTGCAAACAAGGTAGGTATGTAGACGACTTTGGAATGGAAAGGCGTAGGAATGAAGATAATATTTTAAGGACGGTGTTACATATGAATGTGGATGATTATAAGGGTGGAGGAAGACCGAAAAAGAAATGGTTGGACTGTGTGAAAGATGATATGGTAAGAAAGGGAGTAAATAATGAAATGACTATTACGGTGACCCCAAATAAATGGGATAAAGAAGAAGTAGATGATGATGACTGTAATATAATGAATACAATGAGCAGAAACTAGCGACTGATATTTTAGAAATATTAAACAACAAACTATAGTTATTATAAAATATATAAATACTATACCTAATGTGAGTACAATATTACTAAATTACATTTATCATTTAATGATACATTTTGCAGCCATTGGATGGAGACCGAGTAGTTTGACGAAGCAGTGCAAGAATTTCCCAGTATTAGGACCATCTAATGATGATAAACGTAAGTTGATAATACATTGGCAATTATTTAAGGCATTCATTTGTTAAAACCTTATATAAGGCATGGCTTAGTGGTTTAAAATCCTAAATTACACTTAAAAGGTTCTGAGATCAAATCTGTCCGACACCAAGAAACTATGTTAATTTATATTTCTGACTGACTCTTCGGAGACGCAAATGCTGACATCAAATTAAGAATTAATCTAACAGATGATAATAGACACGTGTCCTGCCACGTTTGATTCAAAACCACCGAGCGATGTTATGTGTTACATTCACCATAACGTATACAGTTGACAATGCTTCTGATTACCCCAACTGATATTACAATGGTGAAGGTATATTAGTATTTATAAAACGTATTGTAAATTTTCAGTAAGCACATCAAAACCAGAACCGTTACCTGAGCCAGAACCAAAAGCAGAACCCGAATCGGTCCCAGAACCGAAATCAGAACCTGAACCTTCCCCAGAACCGAAATCAGAACCCGAGCCCGCCCCAGAACCAAAATCAGAACCCGAACCTACTCCAGAACCCAAATCTGAACCAGAACCTACAGCAGAGCCCAAAGCTGAGCCAACTGCAGAACCGGAACCTGCGTCGGAACCTGAACCTACAGCCGAACCTAAGGCTGAACCGGAACCGGAACCAACTGCAGAACCTAAACCTGAACCAACAACACACGCCTCTGTTGAGAGTGATAGCAGGAATAAAAGGGTGGCCATGCATTCATTAGATGGTTTCGATTTTAAGAACCTTGGAAATGATGTGACTGTAAAAACCAGTATATCTTATAAAGTGTCTAGCTCCAAAGGTAAGTTTTTATCGACGCTTTTATATGTATCCATAAAATTGTGCTTTAGAAAATTAATTAAATTTATACACAAGCATAAGGAGTCAGGAAAGAATCAGGGAAATATACTCATATGTTGAATATTAGACTTTAAAATATAACCGTTGTTTTGTAAATCTAGTAAAAGCAAAGTCAATAAACACTTTTAAGTAAAATTAGATTTATAGATCACAATCATATTTATAGAAAACTAAGATTAAGAAAAGTATAGATTTTGCTATTTTTTAATTGCTAATTTTATTGAATAAATGCAATGTTGAACATTTGACAATTTTGAAATACACACGTATTAAAAAGTACCCATAATAAATGAAACTTTTTAATTTTTTATATTGATGTTCTAGGACGACGAAAGCGCGCTGCACAAACCCCAAAAGGACGTGAGTAAAAAAATATGCATTTAACAATAAAAATAAAATAACACACGATACCCAATGTAATCACTAGCTACAGCTACACGCAATGGACGCACACACACATTTTTAATTGTTAATATTCAAACCAGTAGACTAACAGAAGATTGTATAAATACTAATGTAAATATAATGTTGCATGGTTCCATTATTTTTACAGATGTGGAAACTTCGACCTCTGTTCTAGCCAATCAACATGACATTAGTCCTAAACCAGAACCAGAGTCAATCCCAGAACCTAGTTCTGAACCTGAACCAACCCCCGAACCAAAATCTGAACCTGAACCAATAACAACAACAACAACAAAGCCTAGACCAAAATTCTCACCCAAACCAAAGTTTATACCAAAATATAAACAACTATCTCATTTAAATGCTACCGTTAAACATTCCTTACAGTCTCAACCTGCACCCGAACCAACTGCTGAACCCAAAGCAGAGCCTGAACCTATCCCAGAACCTAAATCTGAACCCGAACCTATCCCAGAGCCGAAATTAAAGATTAAGCTTGAATCTAGACTCAAATCCGAACCAGAGTCTATACCAGAACCGAAATCTGAACCTGAACCGACCTCAGAACCAAATTCTGAACCTACTCCGGAACCTAAGTCGGAACCGGAACCTACTCCGGAACCCAAATCGGAACCAGAACCATCTCCAGAACCCAAGTCTGAACCGGAACCAACTCCGGAACCTAAGTCTGAACCAGAACCTACCTCAGAACCTAACTCTGAACCCGAACCCGCCCCCGAACCTAAATCAGAACCGGAACCCACTCCTGAACCTAAATCTGAACCGGAACCCGCTCCTGAACCTAAATCTGAACCAGAACCCACTCCGGAACCAAAATCTGAACCAGAACCTTCCCCAGAACCGAAATCTGAACCAGAACCTTCCCCAGAACCTAAATCTGAACCATCCCCAAAATTCAAAGCCGAAACGGATACAGATTCATTGCTAGTGAAGGGACTTAAAGAAGATGCAGGTAACGCACCACGCTTCGCACTTTATATTATAAATACTTTCATTAGAAATAATAATATATTTTAATTTAAATACTATAAGTACAATATAAACATTTGCATTGATAAGTTGGTACGGTTGTAAATTGTAACCCATCAAGATTAGGTTGATCTAATCAGAAATTCACAGATTGGCAAGAGACAAGTTATGAATGAAAATGAGGCAAAAATTGTATGTCAGGATAGGCCAATGCCACATGGTTTACTCTGCCTACTCCATAAGGGATCTGGCATAAGGATGGATAGAATAGTAGGTACGATTGCTAATGTTGATTTGGGTGTTTTCATATTTCAATTTTTTTCTTAATTATATTATTTACTACTCATAGTACAAGTTTTAATTAATTTGGAATTAAATATAGAGTTTCTTTAATCTTTTTTTAAATACATATTTCGAAACGAGCTTTTCGAATGAAATTTAGTTTAAAAAAAGGTGACTATTCAAAAGGACTTATATTTAAGTTTATTTGAAATAATAAATTATTTCTATTCTATTTTATTTTCTATTTTTTTAATATAAAATCGTGGCTAAGTCGTAGATGTCATTTATACTTTCGTATATTTATTTGCTTCTGTATCAACATTTTTTTACAATTGAATTATTTATTATTTCTAATGAAAGTGTTAGAATTATTTGTATAGCAATATATAGCACTATGATTCAATATGGGCTTTGGTATTTCATTAATGTATTCTTAAATACAACTCATACAATTTTCATAATCCAAAGAACTAATTATAAATATTTTTATTATTATACTAAGTAATATTTTCTCTTATCTCCACTGTTCTATATTCTCTTTTGTTCTCTTCTTAATCACGTTTTTTATGGTTATGTTTCTAAATATTATTTTAGTTATTTGGCTTCCGGATTGGTGTGCTTTTTACGACTAAACCTATATAATATTGGTCTCGGTAGTCTAGAGGTTTAGCACGCCGTCTTGCTTTCGATGGTCGCGGGTTCGATTCCTCGCACGATACAAATGTAGTCATGAGTATGATTGTTAGTATTATTCTGAATATGTTCTATGTATATATTTACAAAATATGTTTATTATATCTATTACTTCATACATTCAAACACTCTGTATGGAACTAGATGGCGCTGTGTTAATTATCCCGGGTTATTATTAATGTCTTATTTACTTATTTATTATGTTCACTGCTTCAGCTTATATTATATACAAGTAATTATGTTTCTCTACCTTCTTTTTATATTTAATAACATTTTTTAAGATTTTTCATTAAAACTATATTTTCAGTCACTATCGCCTTGCTTTGTAATCAGCAAAAGCTACGTCTTAATTATTCCTAATCCTTACTCCTTCTTCTTTTGATGACTCTTCCACTGACTTTCCCCTGACTTTTCTTTCTTCTTTTACCTAACATGTTTTTACACTACTACTACTACTATTTTAACTTCTTCCATTATTGTTTACAATTGTACATATTTTATATTAACGAGGTTTTGTACGTTGTTTATTTATCTGGGTATCTCGGTGTCATCTATTTCAGCCACCAAACAGATTGTTTTGTAAGCTGGTTCGATTTTAAAGGTATAACAGCCTAGTGTTACGAGTACAAAATATAAAATAGTTTTAGTAAGGACCAAGTGAAATTATTTAAGATTGTATGTCTGGTATTTTATATGATAAATATAGTGAAAGTTCGTACATAGATTGTGTTTACGTAAATTTTAATTTATAGCATGTAATAAATAGTTCCGGAAAGTAAACTAGATGTCGCTGCTTCATTTAAGAATAAATTCTACAACGCGATGGCAAGATGTTTTTGCATATCATATAACTTAAAACATTGACAATATGTGAAAGTCCCCTGCTATCGACCCCCGTCCAATTGAAACGGCCTGAGCGGAGGTTCGTACCCCCTAGCGGTGCCCTCAGATTAAAGTCGTATCCGTCAGGCGGGAGTTGGCCTTCCGCCACTCCACAAATCCCTCTGCGGGTTTGGAGTGCCATCTGCATTTGCCTTCTATCGTCCGGTGAAGCTGTAAAGGCCATCTGCTGCCAACACTAGATCGAAAAAAGTGTAAGCGTATTCTTAGTAAGGAATATTCTAGATTTTATTGAATATACATACTTACTATAGAACTATTCTTCGGTTTAATTTACCTATAAGATAAATCAGATCTAGTACAGTTTGGGTTTTCACTACAAAACAAACAGATAGATCACATCCCAGATTATGAATTAGGAACCTTTTTACCAGAAATTGATGCAGGCAAAGGCCGTGGGTTTACTAGTTATTTATGTAATTGAACATATTATTCTAAATATTTCAGGTCACTACCCAAGTCATGAGTATGTACCTAAGTTTGACTTTAACCCTATGGACTGCACCGACATAGTCATTGGTACGGCACGTGGCAATTATCATAGAGTTTTGGACTACTATACTCGAGATAGGTAAGTTCTTTTTGAAATATTATTTAATAATAGCCTTCATATATTTTACCTACATGTATTTACTTTTAGTATATGTATAATTTTTTTTCTTTTTTTGACCTATTGTTTTTATTAATTATATTTGCACCGCCTACAGTTGACTGGTAGAAAATACCTTAAGGCGTTAAGTCCGCCATATGTACTTTTACCTTGGTATTTTGAGCATTAAAGTTATATAAATAAATAAATATTTGTTAAAAAAACACGCACGCTCTATCACGCGCGAATCGACTTTCACGCAGGAAAGAAAGTGCATATAAATGTAGAAAAGGAGAAAACGATACGGCATACAAACGGTTTCAATATCATATCGTTTCGGAAATACCATTGCTGGAAGGTGATTCCACAATTTGATTGTGAGTTCTTCGGATTCATGCGAGTTTTCAGAACTTTCTAGAATCGATGCAATAGTTCCAGTGTTTGCTTTTCATTAAATCGTTCTCTCTTTATAATATTAGTCTACAGAAATTAGATCCCAATAGTCCTCACCACTAACAAACCTTCCCTCTCCTTTTTATGTTGAATTAATACCCTCATTTATTATAGATCTACCCCTCGTGTGGACACGTTCTGGGGCGGACATGATGATATTACTGCAGCATCAGGGTTCGAAGAAAATGGAGTAACAACCATCATTTTCAGGAAGAAAATTAAGGTAAAAAAAAAATTCTAAGTATAATAATATCAAATGTCTAGTACCCATAACACAAGCTCTGCTTACCGTAGAACTAGATGGCGCTGTGTTAATTGTACAGGGTTATTTATTTATCACTACATAGTATAAAACAAAGTCGCTGTAATTGTCTGCCCGTCCCTATGTATGCTTAAATCTTTAAAACTACGCAACGGATTTTAAAGCGGTTTTTTTTAAATAGATAGAGTGATTCAAGAGGGACGTTTATACAATATGTATGATACATATACACTCGGGCGAAGCCGGGGCGAATAGCTAGTATAATATAAACGGTTTTCTTCCCCATTTCCTGTCTTGGCTCAAATTGTATTTATATGTATGTATAAATACAATTTGAGCCAAGCCATATGTATTTATTATTGTATTGGCTGAATGGGCATTCACAATACAATTTGAGCCAATACGGGGAATAAAATACTATTAATATTAAATTAAAAACTTTTTTTGTTTGTTCTACCAATTTTGATTTTACTTTTATCAGGCCAAAGAACCAACCGACCACTCAATAGTTGATGACTTGATGCACGTAATTTGGGCGCGTGGTCAAGAGCCAGGGCGGTACGTGCACTCCCCTCCGTCGGGGCTGGAGAAAGGCTCCGCTGTTGTCGGCGACTTCTACCGCCAGGACGAGCTGAAGTACCACGGACATGGCGGCCAGAGGGGCGTAACGAGAATCAACTTCTTTGGTGAGTTTACGACTAATATAATTGCATACAGTAAATACAAGAAAACGTAAAAAATAAATACAGACAATCACTTAACATTACTGCGAGCGCTTCCGTCGTATAATCGGGCGCGCACTTAATCGTGCCAGAAAAATAGTATGTACGCTAAAACGTGTAAAGTTACGTGTAAAGTTAGCCTTTACACGTGTAAAGGCAGCGATTAGCTATCTTTACACGACTCGCAGGAAAGAATGTGCATGTAAATGTAGACAAAGAGAACGAAAAAGTACGCGTGCGCAAATAGAGAGCACGTTGCCGCGTTCTTTAATCGTGCGTGCTTTAGCGCCTTTTTTGAATCATTCATTCATTCATTCATAATTTAAGAGCTACGCTCTTGTCGGTGGAGATCTTGCCACTTTCCGCGATCTTCCATCATGCTCTTTAATCTTGATACGACACTACTCCCATTTTGTCCTCAATTTGTTTGATGTAGCTATGCCTTGGTCTTCCCTTCTCCCTCTTTTCTTCTATTTTTCCCTCAATAATAATTTTCAAGAAATCATCGTGCCGTATGTCCTAACATTTTTCCTCGTCTTTTTTGAATAGATCCTTAGAAAATAAAATCGGTGGAATAAAAAAAGGAATTTAAAAGAAAGTGAAATCACTAACACCTAAGCACATTTACGCACGAAAGAGTGAACACAATGAATAGTAAAATACAATCATGATTGCGAATGCAAGCATTTTCGCGCTAAATCCCGCGCACGTAAAAGAACATGTTGTGTAAGATTTTATACTTTTGGTTGTGTTTCATCTAAATTCTGCAATTAAAAGAGAGGATTATAATATGTATATGAAATTAAAAAATAAGTTCAAAAACTTAGACCTCCACTATGTAAAAATCACGGCCTGAAAAGTATGAAACAAAACATGACCTGTAATTCTTAGCTGTAGCCATCTAATATGACCTCTAGTGGTATGGCATGACGAACTTCGTCCCAAAAGTTATGATGCTTCACTGTAGAGAAACCAAGTAGCTTAAGTATATATGTAAGTGCCATACTTGGTCCATACGTGTCCCTCCCTAGCTTTTAAGCAATTCACCCTATAAGGCTATCAATTACACGGGAGTCGTTACCCCCGAAGTCGATGCCGAAACAAAGGCGCTTGTCCTGAAGTACTAACCCTCACTCGCCTAGCCTCCCTAGGATTCTGCTGTTAGAATGTGAGGCGTCAATGTCAGTTAATGATCATACAATTTACGCTTCTTATGTGTTGCCACAATTAAGATCCACATTTTCATGCCTTGTTCTATGCTATCCTGCTATTATTTGAAAGAAGAAAGAAAAATATTTATTCAGTGCTTTTCAATATTTATCTATTTAATCAATTAAACATCTCGTAGTTTTATTATGTGCTATATAGTCGCGCAATTACCTAGCACATATAACAGAACTATACGAGGTCCATCAACCAATCAAATTGTTTTAATATATCTAAAATACAGTCTTTCTTTGCACTTTATAGAAGAGGAGAAGAATTCGATATCTGGCGGTGTACTTCCCTTGGCGGACAAGTGTGGTGGTCAATGGAAATTACCGTCCAACTGTAATCCGGCCAATAACAGCTGCGAATACTATGCTTCCTGGGAATACTTGGGACAGAAGAGAGGAAAGGACTCCGTCAGGTTCACCATCAAGACTAAACATAGCAAGTTCTGGACCGGGATTGGATTCAGCAATGATAAGAAGATGGTAAGTTTATTTGTTACCGTTGAAGTAGTTTATGGTACGCTAGCGGGCAGTAGTGGATGATCATAGAATGATGGTAAAGTTATTTAGATCCAGTAGTTAGTGATGGCGAATTTATCAGGAATTTCTCTCGATGATATCTAGAGAGGGTTGAATGAAGTACATTGCTAGCTGGCGGGGCACCAAAGGAGGATGATAAGATGAGCATGGAGTCGGGTCAGACAAATTTATCACTATGGTTTCCAAAGGGATCTGCGTGGACGTCAACCTGACAGGGTACATTGCTAGCAATAGGGTCATCAGTCCACATGACTAATAGTACACTTCCTCTCGCTATCAATTGAATTCGAAACAAGTGAAAATAAATGCTACTGATGTAAATGACAGGAGATGAAGCTCTTGTTTGCAGTGAAAGTTTATGCCCATCGACTGTAACGGGGTTAGATTACATTACTAACAATCCTTATCCTTGCTGTTATTTTTTTTTTATGGATGATAATGGAATGGTACACCCGCCTGCGCTAACGGTTTACGCTGGCGTGGTGAAGATGAGGTCAGGTCAGTTAGCTCATCGTGACAAATTAGCCAAGAATTTATCACGATGGTTTCCAGGGGGAACCGCGTGGAGGACCTGACATGGTACATTGCAGCAATAACATCATCAGTCCACATCACTGACAATTCCCTTTCCCCCAGTTATTAATATTATATACTTTTAGTCCCAAACAGACGCAATTATTGGTTGGGTGGACGCTCGGTCTGGACGTCCGTTTATCATGGATACCTGGGTCAGTGGTTACTCCGCGCCGAGGGTCGACCAGAGGCAGGACATCACCAAGGAGTCCGGCAGTCTGATCGAGGGTTACACAACCCTCAGCTTTGTTAGGAAGAGGAACACAGGTGATCAGAAGGTAAGAAAAAGAGTATATATGACCTTGGTGGTCTAGCGGTTTAGCACACCGCCTTACTTTTGATAGTCACGGGTTCGATTCCTCTCACGGTACAAACATTTGTATTCATGAGTATAATTGTTTGTATCGGTTTAGGTGTGAATGAAGTTTATAGCCTATATGTTATTCTGATGTATGTATGTATTAAACTTTACAGTAATATAGCTATGTTACTGTAGTTTCATCAAAATGCGTTCAGTAGTTATTGCGTGAAAAAGTAACAAACACCCATCCATACTCATAAACTTTCGCGTTTATTAATAAGATTTTTATTTGGCCAATCATTTTTGTTATATTTGCAGGACCTCGCATTCACTGACAGCCAATGTTTATACATGATGTTCATCACACAAGGCGGGGGTTACGACCCTGTTAACAAACGGACGAGCAAGCATCAGCAGACCCCGGTGATTACTGAGAACAGGGTCTGCATTAAGCCTTGTGGTCCAGGTAAATAATCATCATTACATAGTACAAAACAAAGTCGCTGTCGATGTGTGTCCGTCCCTATGTATGCTTAAATCGTTAAAAAAAAAAGCGGTTTTTATATATATCAAGAGGAAGTTTTATATATATATAATATATGTACACCCATGCGAAGCCGGGGCTAGTGAAATAATAGTAAATATTCCTGGACAATTAACATAGCTAGTTAGTGATGTGGACTAATAATCACATTGCTAGCAATGTACCATGTCAGGTTGACCTCCACGTGTTTCCCCCAGGATGATAAATTCATGGTGAATTTACCACAATGTGCTAACTGACCTGACCTCATGCTCATCTTATCATCCTCCACTGGTGCCCCGCCAGCGTAAACCTTTAGTGCAGACGGGTGAACCATGTCATAATCATCACTTTAAAAAAATAGGTAGTATTAAGTAATCTGTGTTGCAGATGACTTTAAATAAAGTACTTTAGGTAAATATTTAAACTGCAATTTTCTTCATAAATTCGTTGATTGAGTCTATAGACTGATCTGGACGATATAGAAAGAATATTAATACAAAAACCTCAACTTGCATAAGTGACTAAAATGTCGTACGTAGATAAGTGATTTTTGATTTTTGAATTTAGATCCTCTTTTAAAACCCCTTCTTCTCTACAGAACCCCCTGAAGAAGAAGTAACCACGGAGGCTATAATACCCGGATTATCAGCATATACCATGTTGATACGTATCACCGGGTTAGCTGACAGCTTCAAACCACCATCAGCCGGCAGTAAAGAGTACGAAGAACTGAGTCAGCAGGTCGTCAACAGTTTGGTGAAGGAATTGGGGAAGAATAAGGGGTACCATGGATTAGTTGTCAACGGGTTCATGCAGTGAGTGAAAATATTTTAGTGCATAGCTATATCCTGTAATTTTACCGTCATAACACAGTTTTTGTGTTGTAACTATAGAAAAAACAAGCTGACGGTGCATCTGATATAGTATATATTATTTACCTATATAGTGAAAGTGGGACCTGGAGTGTGAGAAACCTCTATTATAGAGAGTTGCAATAAGATCCCAGTACTTTCATTGAATTACCTCTGTTAATGGGACTTTTCCAACCTGCTTCAATGAGATTTGAATTGTAAGATTTTTTCAATGTTTCTATAATTGGGACTCTGTAGCTGAATTCTCTGTATAAGTGAGACAAATTAATCAGATTGGGACAGGTTTTGACACGTTTGTTTACAAATATTTGAATGTCTTTCGCTCATGCTTTGTTTGTCAGCATTGATTCAGATTTTTCCACCTCACAAAATGTAATAACGGTACATTTCGAACTTTATAAGAGGGGGCCTCTGTAAATGAGACACTTGCTTAATTGGAAAACTGGATTAATGGAAAGCGTCAATAATTGGTACATAATTATTGGTCCCCTGAGATTCCAATTAACCAGGTTTTAATTCAAATTTCAATGTATTATAATTGTTACAGAAATGAAACGAGTGCCATAATCGCCGAGCTCACTCTAAAATCGATCGATTCAAACACAATCGAAGGTTCAAGCGCGCGTTCTCTAGATGCTGCTGTTTCTGTCACACCTAACGTGACTGAGGGAGACAGCGATATGGAGAAATGGCACAGAGTAGTGAGGGACACACTGGCGCAGGGGAGAGTGGGCAATCTGAACGTTGATCCCGAATTTTTGGTGTTTGAACCGCAAAGCTGTGAGTATACAATTTTTATATAATTGATATATGAGTATACAATATTTATATTTTATGTATAATACTATTTAAACCATTTTCATGAGGCTTGCTGAGTTTAATGTCATTCAACTTAAAAAAAAAAGGATTGTTTCTTTTGACCTTTACACATATGCTCTTTCACGCGAGAATCTGCTTGAGTAGTATAGGTCTCGTCGCTAAAATCTATTTTTATGAATGGCAAAGAATTTACTGACCCATCTGATGGTAAGGTAACTGTCGCCAATATACATGAACAGCATTACGGACATCACGTTATCGAGTTCCACTAGTGATACTCAGACATCGCCTCCGATAGGCAGCGTCCTGTAATGCCAGTGAAATCACAGGATAGGAGGCAGATGTCATGTCATCCTGTATTCACCGCTCGACCTCACCGTACAACGGTTTACATAGTAACAATGTCGGCAGTGGTATCGAGCCGTCCCGCGGAGGAGGAGCCCGGTAACGCGCGCACGTTCTTCGGGCTGGCGGAGACGAAGCTGTACGTGGTGGTGGGGTGCGTGGCCGCGCTGGTGGCCGTGGCGCTGCTGCAGGCCGCCTGCACGCTGCGGCGCGGCCGCGCGGCGCCCGCCACGACCGGGAAGGCATGGACCAACCTCACTTCCTTACTAATATTTAAAAAAAATACGAGCTGAGTTTCTTGTCAGTTCTTCTCATCTCGAAATCACTCCGAACTGACGGTAGATTTGACATATCATAACAGTCCGTAATAGACCTATATGAATAAAGATATTTTTAATTTTGAATTATTATAAATGTGAAACTAGGAATGTTTGTTGCGCTTCCACGCGAAAACTATTGAACCGATCATCATGAAATTTTGTACATACGTTCTTGAAGGTATTAGAATGAACGAAAATTTAAATGAATGAAAATCCTATTATATATAAAAAAAAAAAAATTTCTACATTTTGATACGAACTCAACGCCTTCTAGCAGCCAGTAATGATGTTATGTGAGCGAAGCCTCGAGAAGAAGCTAATATAGTAATATTATAATGCTGAAGAGCTTGTTTCTTTAATAGTCTCAGGAATAATGGTTCGAATGAAAAATTCTTTTCGTGTTGGATAGTTCAAGATAGATCCATTTGTCGAGAAAGGCTTAGCTATATAAAAAACATTACGCTACGACCAGTAGGAGCAGAGTTGCAATGAAAAATATTGCAAAATATAAAGTTGCGCGGGATAGTATCATATAAAGTGGGGATTTCATGTAATTGATATGCTAAACTGACAGGTCTGATCAGTCTTAACCGGTGTCCGACCACGATGTATATATATTTAGGAGGAGAATTGTAATTTTACTGTTGAAACTTAAATACAGGTTACAGAGCAAGCTGCATGACAGATGAAATAGATTCTAAAATAATGTCACGCAGATGCCATGATAATAAACGTATTCCAAATTTGAAACAAATTTATCTATCAGTAGCACAAACCCTTAGTAAAGAAAAAATATCTAAAGGAAAAAAAATATTATAAATTTTGGAACACATATTTCCACTAACGGAAACGTAATTCAAATTTGGAACACATGTATCTCCTCTAGTAAACTCGAAACATATACCTCTCGATACCGTAATTAAAATTTGGAATAAATACATGTATTTCTCCTAGTGAACTCAAACATATCTTGATAACGTAATTCAAATTTGGAACACATATGACTCCCAACTCAACTCGAAACAAACATCGCTCTATAATGTAATTCAAGTTTAGAACACATTTATCAACTAGTAAACGTGTTCCAAATTTAAAATTGGTTATTTTCTATACCAATCTCGGGACCGGTAAACGTGTTCCGAATTTGTAATTGGAACGTTTCTGTACCAATCTCAGGACCAGCTGATCCCGAACGCTGCGTGGAAGGAGTACTCGGCTTCGAACACGAACTACGCGTTCGAGCCGTTCGAGAACGACGACAAGTTCGGCGGCACCGCCTCCACGGCGGCGCTGCGCTCGCGGCCCCCCTCCCGCCCGCCCGGCCCGCCGCCGCCCCGCCCCCACCACCACAACACGCACGCGCCACACAAGGTACACTATACCGTACACAACAAATAACTCCTGTCCCTTCCGATCGATTACCTGTCTAATTCAAACGGGGATCGTAGGTACGACAATCTGAGACGAGGTTCGAACCCCTAGTGGTGCCTCAGACTTAAGTCGTATCCGACAGGCGGCAGTTGACCTTCAGCCGCTTCATATCCACGTCTTACCACGGGTTGGAGTGCCATTTACACTAGCCTCCTGTCGTCAGCTGCGGCCAACAGCATTAGAGTGTTATATAATTAAAATCCATTCCACCCACAAAGCGCTGGCACAGCTAGTCACTCTTGAAATAATAAATAACAATTTGCAGCAATCGAACGGCCACAAAATGGCCGCCAACGGTAACAAGATGGCGCCCAACGGGACCAATGGACGAAGCACGCCGAAGCATAACAGCGCGGCGCAGTATTACCACGAAACGAGGTCGCTGCAACGGCCTAGAGGACAATATGGGTAAGTACATAATAATTCATATTAATTTACAGACATAAATAGATTTTTTTATACTACTATGCCGGTAAACAAGGATATGGCTTGATGGTAAATGGTTACCATAGCCTGAGACAGCAAGGGTGTGCCGTGCGAGTTGCCGACCTTTAAGAAACCTAAATATACACTTCTTGAGAAACCCCATGCTGTAGTCTCGTAAGTAAACCTCGGCGGGTAGTTGATTCCACAATCTAAGAGTACGCGGCAGGAAGCTCCTCTGAAACTGCACTGTCATTATATATAGATAGATATGTATAGATAGAATAATGGATACAGTAAAAGATGGAAATTATACATATATGTAATAAAAAACCCTTTTATTTCTTGCTTCTATACAAAGTCTTAGTAAATTATAATTATTTTTATCTCTAGTTATTATTTTGTATTATTATTAAAGTTTTGTTTTTATTATTTATTTCTTATTATAACTGTTTTTTTGTTAATATCTATAACACATATAAAACAATCAAATTTATACAGACAGACGGACAATAATACAAAAATTATTGCAGGAATCAAACTCAAGAGTAATAGCGAGTTTAAAGAGTAATTATGTAGTATGCATATATAATTTTCATTAAAAATAATAAAAATAAATATCAAAGGGTTACTTAAGGGTTGAAAGCCTACATTAGAAGAGTTTCGTAATTTCAGCAAACTGCTTAACTGACCGTGTGGCCTAATGGATAAGGCGTCGGACTTCGGATCCGAAGATTGCAGGTTCGAGTCCTGTCACGGTCGAATATTAATTCCACTTATTTTGTTTTTTATATTGATTTTGTTATATTTACTACAATATTATGTAAATATAGTAATAATTTTAAAAAAATGGCAACGAATTAAAATTAGTTTTTCATATTATCATATAAATATGATTATATGAAAGGTAAATATTTAGTTATTTAATATTTTTTTATATTTTAATTTACAATGTTACAATTATTTATTATTTATAATAATTATAATTTTATTATTTTTCTTATTTCTTTTTCGTTATTCACATCATTAAGTAAATACGTGTTAATTATACTGTATTTTTATATAGGTACAGTTATAAGAAAAAATTGACACTATTCTCTCTATATATATTTTAAAACATTATACACAGATCTATTTATACATACTATTGATCGCTTAATGGTCGAAATTCAACCATAATTAATTAAAATTATAAGTTTTAACAATTATTAAGATTATATTGTGAAAGACTATAACTTATATACATGTGCCTGCCAAATACATGGTAGAACATGTGTATTGTTTTTTTTATTGATTTATTCTTCATAACTAGCTGACCCCGTGAACTTCATTTCCCCCCAAAACGTAATATATCAAAGGTTTTTTGAAGTTTCGTTACGCAATACATTTCTGAACGCACCCTGTTTGACAGGTATCAGCAGTTTGTATGGGAAAATAAAATTGTTGTTATTACTATTTTACATACAATTTCTTTATATTTTATCACCGTTTAAACCTTCCCTGGACTTCCACGATTATTTCAAGCCAAAACTTAGCCAAATCGGTTCAGCCGTTCTCGAGTTTTAGCGAGACTAACGAACAGCAATTCATTTTTATATATGTAGATTGATCTAAAATGAGCCGTCCACTATTGGCGACCGTGACAGGACAGGAAAAAAACGAATATAAAGCTGAACAGAAAAATAATGTTTTTAGCAAAATTTCTAAATATAAATAATGACACATGAAAATACGATATTCTGTCTTTTCAAAAATAGACATAGAAAAAAGAATTGTATATAAAACCTCAACAATAATGATTACCTCAAATAAAGATGTATATTACACAGCTATTAATATAAATAAACAATATTTTTACAGTTATAATGGACGTCCGGACAGAGCGACGTACTCGTTACCGCGTGGAGTCCGCGAGACCGGACCGTCGTCGTACCCCGGACACTCCGGACACTCCGGACACACCGGACACCCCGGACACGCGGGCCTGTCCGCGCAACCGGACTTCTACTTCATGCCATCGCAGCGGAAATACGAAGGTGAAGTTGTTAGGGTATACGTCGATTATAGAAATCGAGATATGGGATTGGAGTAGATAGTACATAAATATTGGAAAGTGGGCTTGATTCTGAACAGTCTAGACCAGTGTTACTCAAACTGTATAGCTTAAGCCCAATAGGTGTCCAGTTTGAAAAGCACTGGGCACAGCACTTATGCATAGGGAAAGTTGGTACTGGCATATATGTAATGGCATATATATAAAGATCTGATAAATTAGAAAATATTGGGATTGATTCTGAACCGCCCTAACCTCTACGTATCCATGGACCACAGCTTATAAAAACACTCGTCCAGACCAGTGGTTTTCAAACTGTGGGTCACGATGCCTAGCTTTTTTTATTTCATCCTAGAGTACATAAAAGTATATAGAGACCGCGGAATAGTTAGAATTGTTAAACTTGAATAAGGATCGCAAATTTAAAACGGTTGTACAACACTGGTCTAGACTTATAGATAATATAATATGATGTTTAGGCGAATTGTTTTGTTTGTTCATATAGTTTTTTATTATAAATAATTAATATATTGACTTTTTTTTAGTTTTACGTGTATGCACGTATATTTTTTGTTTTATTATATTTAATGATTAGGTTTTTACCTACATATGGCTCAAAGCTTTAAGACTTGACTAGTGCAATGAAATTAATATTTCGGATATATAGTATATGTGCCAGTAATATTATTTATAGTCTGTATTTTAATTCCAGAGACTAAACTGACAGGTGTAAATGTCAAATTTTTAAATAATGTTACCACCTTGTTATATTCTTTGACAACAGATTTTCAAAATTAACATACATATACTAGTGTTTTCATTACTGTCGTTGTCTTATTCAATGCAAAAATACATTTTTGTGGTTTTCCGTACATATAGTAATTTTTTACAGTATTAAGCAACAAACCAACATTTTTTTTCTTTCAAACAGCTAAATATTTAAAATAGGTCTATGTTTTTATAAAAAAGGCAGTTAATAATATATTATATAATATATATTATATATAAGGCAGTTAATAATATAATTATTTTAGAGAAAAATACATATTTTATATAACAACCCTATATTTATTAAACTTAATTAATTTTGTGACAATGCGTTAAAAAAATACTCACAGATTATTTCTGAATAACCTATAAAAATGGGTAATTGAATTTTGAATTTAAAAATGACAACCCCTATCACCTATTTTAAAAAAGAAATTTGTCATATTTGTCAGTTCTCATTAAAATCACTGAATTGAGTAGATTTGACACATGTAAGAGTCTGTAATAAAATGAATAAGTATATTTTGAATTTAAAAATGACAAAAACTTGGCAACCTCGGTAATGTCATATTTGTCTCCAGGATTAAAAACAGACTATAGTATATGTTATGTTGTAGTTTATAAAATAATATGGTACAAATGGGATACTAAAATATTATAAAATTAAAACTTTATGTAACACATTAGTATTTTTGTAGTTAGTTATTAACTTTATTAAGCTTTTAGTTATTAACTTAATTAAGGTTTTATTTTATATCATTTAAAAATAAGACATTATATTTAATTAAATTTAATAATAATGGCCAGAGCATATAGTTATTAATATTATAGTAATCCGTCAGGCGGGAGTTGGCCTTCAGCCGCTCCATAAGTCCTTCCTTTGGTTTGGAGTGCCATCTGCACTGGCACCCTATCGTCCGGTGAAGCTGTAAAGGCCAGCTGCGGCCAACAGCATTAGAGTAGTACAAATAAAATCTATTCTATTGAGATGTATACAGAAAATATAAGGGTTTATTTGTCCATTTATTTATTGATATACTAGTCGTGCCAGCTTGTTCTGTTTGTTTTCCGTAGATGTTATTTAATGACAAATATTTAATAGTGTACCTATTGAAAAATTTATCAAAAATAATTGTTTCCCAATTTTTCTGTTTTCTTTATCTATATGTTGATCTATAGTTAACAACATATTTAGTCAATATTTCATAGTTATTAATATTAATAGAATGGTGTAATAAGCCCTTAATATTTTCATTAAATTTAAATTCGCTATCTGCTTGTAACACTTATATTATTTGTAATATCGTGAAACCTAATAAACTTACTTTAACTAAACTCCTGTTTTGTCCTTTTCTTTCTTAATTTTACGGAAAGAGACAAAACACTATAGTTAAAATGAGTTTGTTTTATAAAAAAGGGGCGTATACCTACACAGCGCTTGTTGCTAACTTCACGTAGTTTGTTTGGGATTGGATTATTTATTGTAATAGAACCTTTCAAGCTTTGTTCTCCTAATAAATTATTGTTTAAATACCATATGTATAATTATTTACACAATTTAGTAGATAAACCACAGGTGTGCACAGCAACATGGGAATTGCTTTATTATTGCTTGGGGAGAAGGTTGAGTTTTAAATAATAAATTTAAAGTCATTTATGTATTTTCGTTTGCGACGAGTGAGGTTATTTTTTGTCTCGCTCACCGCTCTTTAATTAAAAAGGGATGTAGATATAGCACTGTGTCACTAAACTTCGTAAACTATTATATATATACTTCTAAAGATACACACATACTCACATAAAATATAATATCTACTTACATATATTCAAACACACAGGCTTATAATCACAGCTAACATTTTTTTCAACTGATTCAAAATATTTTCTTAGTTATACTGTTTTTACCTGATTTTTTTTCTACTTGCACCGATTATAATGATTATTTTTTTAAATTGAAAATTGGTGCTTTTTATGTAGTGCATGAATACAATCATATCTCAATAGTAGATCAAGATCTAAATAGTTTTCAAGTTATTCTCAATAAAGCGACTGAATTCGAGTTTTTCATGGCCTGAATACGTTATTTTTTAAATAATGATTTATAATGATTTTAAAATTATTTTTTTAAATACTGATTGATGTATATTATTAATTTTGCCTTCGTATATGAATTTTAATATTTTTCGTTGATTAACTTTTTTCATTAAAGTTGTACACAGTTATAATATTAAACAATTTTGATTTAAAATGTATTTTAGTACTTGGATATTATAAAAGAATAGTCAAAAGGTAGGACAGTACATAATTAGGTTTTTTGTCTTTTGTAATTTTACAAAAGAAAACTCACTTTTTTGTGATATTCTACTCACTTAAATAATTAAAAATTTCTAAATAATTAGTATAAATATTGTTACTAGTAATAAAAAGGACTAATTGATAGTGTAATTTTATTTTTTGTTATATAATACGATTTGACATACTTTAGTAAAATTTATAATTGTTTTAATTAGGGATCGACATAGTATAATAATTAAAAAAATACTAACTTAAAAACGAACGCTATCTATTGTATGTGAAGCGGCCATTTTCTTATAATTTCTTTTGTTTTCCAGATTTTTGATGGCGAGCACGAGGTTATTAATATAAGTTACCAATAAATAACAGTTTTTTTAACTAAGCACCGAACAATTGTACCTTCTAAGAGTTATATTTCACACTTGTATATGAATATTTATTAATTTCTCCAAACCAGATCTAGTCTCATGTCACAGTTTTAAAATAAGTTAATTTCACATTAAACTAATATAAACAATTTATTTTTCTCTTAATGTAAATAATATTTTTAATTAAATATTCTTGCTGTATATTGCACGTAATGGTATAATTAATATAAATGAACAATAATTTATTTAGGAGACAATGCAAAGATTTTTATAATGTAAATATTTGATATAGCGCCATCTATTGATGTGCTTGTGTACTTATGAACATGGCGATCTAGCTCCCACTTTTACTTAGTACTAAAAATGGGACCTAATTATGTAACGATGTTTTTTTAATGGAATGATGCACCCCCCTTGCTAACAGTTTACAATGGCGGGGCATTACTGCAGGATGATGATAAGTTCAAACAAGTTCACTAGGAATTTATCATGATGGTCTCCAGAGAGTTGTTTTTAAATTAAATTATCCTGGATTTTTCAAGTTAAAATATTTGTTGGTTGTTTAAATTTGGGGTTGCCAACCCTAATAAACCCTGGTGTTCTAGGCGTACATAGGCTACGGTAACATTGTACTATCAAATAGGCAGTTTGCCACCATAGTAGCATAAAAAAAATATAAATTTTTAATCGCTTTAATTGAGAATTGTTAATAACATTGTTACTTAATTAAGATCCTAATTGTCAGTACGGTTTAGTTTAGACTTATACTTTATTTACTTATTTTAAGGTGGGATTTTGCTTGTCGATTGATGGGCTTTAGGTTTTTGGGGCTCCATTGTAAATGTCAATTTTTTCTTTAATGCCATCAAAAAGAATAGATACTAGGTTTGTTACCGGTGTGCTGTTTAAACAGGTCACATGTTGAGCGGAGTGATTCTTAAAAACTCAACCTTTAAAATAAAATTATTTTCTGTAGCGCGTGAATTTAATTCGCCAAGTCTATGGCAACCATTATCACCAACCTTTCTTCAATGACATGACCGATCGAATGGTCGACCTTCGGTGAAAGTTTGGTCTCGATCGGTCAAGCTGTTGTGAAGGAGTATCGTTACAAAGATCTCTAGGATCGCTTCGAGCTTCGTGCTCCGCTCAACTAGAAAGGAAGATGGTGTCCCAGTCAATTATAGACAAGCTTGAGGGTCGATTACAAATGACAAATGCGAAATTTCGATTACCTATTGTATTTAAAAAAAAAATATATCCCTGTATCAACATATTACATCCGATGGTCCCGGGTTCGATTCCTCGCACGGTGCAATAATTTGTATTTATGAGTATAATTGTTTGTTCGTTTTCTATGTATGTTATGTATGTATTTATAAAAACAAATATCTAAGTATTTATATCAGTTGTGTAGTATCCATAAAACATGTATGTTTACTGTGGGACTAGATGGCGCTGCGTGTATTGTTCAGGGGTTATTATTATATATTGACCATTTGACAATTACAATTCTGAATAATAACAAGTACTAAAATGGATTGTAAGCTATTACAACTGAGAATTATTAGAAACTTGCATAAAACAAATGACAATGAAAATTTCGATCGATATCGTTCGGATAACATTCGAAATTCGTATTTGTAAGTACGGATAGCATTCGAAATTCGCATTTGTTATTTCAGAATAGACCCTCTAGTAGAGTTGTATTTCAATCGAAGTATATATTGAAAATTGGTTCAAATTATTCGCAAGGTTATCTTTACAGACCTAGCTATTGTGGATTGTGTTTACTGTAAAAGACTTGAAATTTTAAATAAAACGGGTGAATTATGTATTATAGTAAAATTCTAGTTAATAACAAGTAAATTAGATAATTAAGGATGTATTTTAATTATAATTAGGATTTAAAATCAACTCAAAAACATTTTTTTAACAACAGTTATTAGTATAAATGATAAAAAACTACTCGTCAGACGTTAATATAAGAAATACACTTGTTAGTGTTATTTTTGTCAATTTTGTATAACATATATATTCTGTAATACAGAATATAAACAATATATAGACACAATTAAGAATATATTATGTATAAATTGTAATATAAAACAAATATTTATATTTGTCAGTATGTATCGAACATTTAACATTTGGTATTGCTAGCATGCATAATTGCATTAAATGAATAACTACAAATATTGGAAACTCGAATCTTATGTTAAATATTTAAAGTCTAATTTCTAATAATGTAGTTTTTGAGTTACTACCTTTTATTATTAAGGGTATGGTACATACACCGCATATACTACCGACATAATTCAAAAATTGCAATTGTTAACGTTTCATAACTGCTTAAAACAAAAATACAAATGTTGGAAAATCATACTTAATGTTAGAACAATAAAGTCTATATTCCAATAATGTAATTTTCGAGTTACTACCATTTGATATTAAGTGTACGATACATGCACCGCATATACTACGTACAAAATATACCAGTTGAAATTGTTAGCGTTTCATAACTGCATTAAATAAAAATACAAATGTTGGGAAATGGAATCTAAAGTTAAATATTTAAAGTATATATTCCAATAGTGTATTTTTCGAGTTACTACCTTTTATTATTAAGTGTACGATGCATGCACCGCATACCTACCGGCACAATTCAAAAATAGAATTTTCTAGCGTTTTATAACTGCATTAAATAAAAATACTTGTTCGAAAATAGAATCTAACATTATATATTTAAAGTCTATATTCCAATAATGTAATTGTCGATTTAATACGATTCATTATTAATTGTACGATACATACACTGCATATGTACTACCAAAATAATTTAATTGCAATGTAATGTAACATTGTTGATACAAATTATATAATAATATATAATTAATTATATAAAATAAAATAGATTTCTTGTTTATTTCTATGTTTGACTTGTGTGATATGAATTTGTATTTCTAATTGTTTCTACGACATTATTCTAGAGAATTAGTGCAAAAGTAACCAAAGTGTTATTCTAGTATATGATCTATCTATGTATGAAATATACCAATCCGTCCAGTAATAAGATTTTCGTTTTAAAATTAACATTTCCTATCCGCAGCACCATGTTGATGAAAAGCGGTTTTTTTCTAGATTACTTTTCTTACAACTATATTTTCTCTCGCTCGCACACACGTCATTCATACGTCTCTTTCACACAATACGTTCCGATACTATGAACAAAAAAAATAGTTATTAAAGCGCGCGTGATTTAAATACTAGATCTAAATCCTAATCCTAGATTTAAATACGCTAAGGCATACCTGCCTAGTTCGCTAAATATATTTCAGAAATGATTTTAATGACAGTAGACAGAGTAGTAATATATATAAAATACATATAATAATAGAGGACCTAAGAATAAGAATAAAACAACATTATATTTAATATAATCAACCGATTTATTAATAAAAATATTGTATATAAAAAGTGTATATATTATATAATAATAATAACAAATTGTATATTTATTTAGCACCCTTATTTGCCCCTTTTAAATTTGGTATATTAAAAATCCCTAATATCACAATTATTACAAAAACTATATGTACCTAATTAAAAAAATAATAATAATATGTCAAAATAATAATGCTACTTCAATAGGTAATTTAATTTTTTTTTATTAGGGGCTGTTCAAGTATTACGTAAGCAGATTTATCACAATTATTTACCCCTCATCCCCCGTTGTCAGCAAAAGTAAGCAAAGCTCTTACTCCTCCCCCATGCTTACGTAAACATTTCTCAAGTAATGTATTGTTTTTTATATGCCATTCGTGTAAAAAAAGTAAATTTTTAATCATCATACAGACTCCCCCACCTCCATGTCATCCATTTGAACGGCCCCATTATCTAAGAAAGTAGGTATATAGCTCCCAAATTGCACCGGCCCAAAAGAAATATAGTTTTTATATATATCTTTTTATTTAAATAAAAATATTTTTTATTTAAATACATTATAGATATACTATATAGATACATAAGATATAATAATAAAAATGTAAATAAAATTGTCTCTATGGTCACATTCAGTAACTCTGCAGTAATGTCAATCATTAACACACAAAACCTGCCAAAAAATGGTCCTTCCGAGTCGGATGAGCCAAGAGATGACAATAATCTCATTCCTACATTTTTAATAACAGTAATTTGCTTTGGTAATTACATCAGGTATCAAGGTATGAAAGAAGGATAACGGAAGAGGTATCAAGGGATAGAATGATGCAAATGCCGGTAGGGTAGACCCTAAAGGGATATCGAACAAATAGGTAAGTATTGTATAATGCCCAATAAAAATTTCCTGCAAACGTACTTTTATGAATTGATGAATAAAGGAATTCAAAGATTTACGTATGAATTTTGAGAGTAGAGTTTCTGTCTACCCCAATACGAGACAGGCGTGACGATATGAATATATACGTTTGCAGATAATGAAATCAATAAAGGATTTCTAGATCATTGATTCCTTTCAAAGTGGTCTATATCGACCTGAAACCAGGGGTCTATATCGACCTCATGCAGTCCATCCATATCATCGACCTCCAGGGGTCTATATCAACATCCAGGGGACTGGAACAAACTGCAAGGAATCTCCAAACAGCTGGTCATCTTGTTGTTTTTAACACTAAACTTTACTGCAGTTAGAGATTCAAAAAAAATAATACCGGTAAGAATGGAGGGTTTGTAATATTGAAATAACCGTAAAGTATATAAATAAGGGTCTACGACAAAAAAGTTTGGGTCCTCTGCTCTAGATGAACGTCTGAACGGTGATCAAATAGGCGAGGTATTGTAAAAGCATCCAGACTTGTACTTTAAGTGATTGATGAATAAAAGAATCTAAAGTTACACGCGAATCGAGCATTTGAGTCTGTATACCCCAATAAAGAAAGGCGTGAATATATGAATGTATTTATAGGTAAATATTTCAATAAAGAGGCCCTCACATGAACGTAAGTCGACTAAATAGGCAAGGTATTGTAAAAGGTCTGTAAGTCGCGAAAAACTTGTATAATTCATTGATGAATAAAGGAATTCAAAGATTTACGTATGAATTTTGAGAGTAGAGTTTCTGTCTACCCCAATACGAGACAGGCGTGACGATATGAATATATACGTTTGCAGATAATGAAATCGGTAATATTACCAAGATTTCATTGTATTTACAAGTTCGATTTAACTTGACCTTTCACTTGTTTGCTCTTATATCTCCATTGGTCCTGAAACAAATAAGTTATTTTAATCTATATCATCTTTCATGCAGTCCATCCATCTCTTTCTAGGCCTTCCTCTGTCTTAATAACCATCAACATTCATGTAGAGACACGGATTGCAATTCCACGTTGCTTTTACCACGTGGTATCCAAATCTACCTGGTGAAACATAATTATAATTAGTCCTACGACAACTTCTGCTGTACGAAATTGCAGCTAAAGTATATATATGTTAATCTATACCTATAAATAAACTTGGAGTGTCTGTTTGTAATATTGAAATAACCGTTTTTTACTACATGCATATGAATATAAATAAGGTACATACACAAAATATCATTTTTTGTTTGTCTGTTTGTTCCGGATAATCTCTGAACTGGCTGGGCCTATTTTGACGGGAATTTTATTGGCAAGTGGCTGATGTAATAAGGAGTAACTTAGCCTACTTTTATTTTAGAAAAATAAAGTTAAATTCCACGCGGACGAAGTCGCGGGTACAGCTAGTCCTTACTAACATTATAATAGTGAAAGTAGGAATGTTTGTCACGCTTTCACACAGAAACTACTAAACCGATCATCATGAAATTTTGTAAACATGTTCTTGGAGGTATTAGAATGGATATAGGATACTTTTTATTAAAAAAAAAAACATGCGAGCGAAGTCGCGGGTAAAATCTAGTAATATTATAAATGCGAAAGTTTGTGAGTATGGATAGATGTTTGTTACTCTTTCACGTAAAATCTCTGAACGGATTTTGATGAAACTACAGTAATATAGCTTATACATCACAATAACATATAGGCTATAAATTAAACGCGGGTGAACCGCGGGCACCGCTAGTATGTTATATAAAATGCAATTTAATTTAATTTATTGAAGTAGGTCAAAGGCGGTCTCACCTCGAAACTAACTTCGAAGCCTCGTCTCTTGCCTTCCTCCTCGATTTCCTTCACAATAAGATCTTGCACGGTGCCCCTCACGTCGATATATTGGCAGTTGCTATTCATGAAGTGGCAAGTCATAGACTTGCGATAGTTCTGTAAAAAAAAAACAGAGAAAATTGAACTCTACTCCAATTAAAGCGTGTGTTATGTGTGTGTGTAAAAAGTCGCATGTGTCAGTCCCACCTATATGTGTGCCAAGCAGCTTGCTTTGTGTGTGTGTATGTGTGTGTGTGTGAGTGTGCAGTAAAATTTCAGGACATAAGTTTCCTCTAGAAAGGATACATATTACTGATATCATAGATATCACATGATAACGTGATGTCGTAGTACTGTTCTATCTATTGTTGTATCTATTTATATATATTTATGTTAATTATAATATCATTTATATGTATGGTAGTCTGTACATATAAATAAAAATGGATTGTCTGTAATATAGTAATAACCGTTGTTTACTACATGCATATGTATATAAATACGGTACATACACCAAAATATTAATTTTTACAAATATGTCTGTCTGTCTGTTTGTTCCGGCTAGTCTCTGAAATGGCTGGACCGATTTTGACGGGATTTTTTTTTTGATGATGATGATGCTAACGGTTTATTTTGGCCACCAGTGGAGGATAACATGAATGAGGACAGATCAGTTAGCCCATCATGACAATATCACCAGGAATTTGTCACGATGTTTTCCAGGAACCTGGGTTCGATTCGTCGAGGTACAAACATTTGTACTCATGATGATTGGTATCGGTCTGCTAGCAATAAAATCATAAGTCCACGTTATTAACAATATCATGTATTTATATCTTGTCTCTAATAAATAAGCTCTTCCTGGCCCGCGAACACTTAGATTAAATTGAACTTCATTTATCCGAGGTTTTCTCACGAGACTACAGCATGGCGCTTTTCAAGAAGGGTATATTAAGGTTTCTTAAGGGTCGGCAAAGCGCACGTAACACCCCTGTGTTTCAGGCGTCCATAAGGCATTTAAAATCAATAAAATTAATAATAAATCAGATGGACAGAAAGAAAAGAAGTTTTTATTTTGTTTGCCACCTTAATTACAATTATAAAAATAAAAATAGGTTACAAGTAGGGTACTCACCTGAGTGACATTAGGACCGGAGCCATGTATTATTAGAGGATGGAAGAACACTGTGTCACCCGGCGCCATCACCAGGTGGACTACCTTGTCGGGGGAAGCCAATGTATCCTCGTTCAATATCCCATGGTACAACTTCTTTTGGGCACCCTACAACAAGACAATAGAAATAGAAATAGAAATAGAAATAGAAATAGAGATAGAAATAATCTTTATTCAAATAAACTCATTACAAGCAGTTTTTAATAGTCATATTTTTATTCTACCACTCATTCGGAAAGCAGATTCATCACAAGAAGAATGAGCAAGAAACTTGTGTGTTGCTCTTTTTAATAGATGTTTTTTTATATAAATAATTAACTTAGTATACCGCTTTACTTCCGATAGTCGCGGGTTCGATTCCTCGCACGGTACAAGTTTGTATTTTTTATTTTATTTATTAATTTAAAACAAAAACATGTGTACTAATTCAAGAAACGATATCATTCACAGAAGTATAAAACTGTGCGAATATCGACGCCCTCCACCGAGTTTATATAATTTAAAAAAATACATGCTATGACGTTACCTACATCGTAGATCTAATAAAATTTACAGTATATTTAAATCAAAACCATATATAACCAAAAACAAAGAAAATTTAACTTATAAATAAAAAGAGACTATGCCTGCATTTGATATGTACATGTAAGCAGTATGTGTGTGCGTGTGTGTGTGTGTGTGTGTGTGTGTGTGTGTGTGTGCGTGTGTGTGTGTGTGTGTGTGTGTGTGTGTGTGTGTGTGTGTGTGTGTGTGTGTGTGTGTGTGAGCGTGTGTGTGTGTGTGTATGTGTGTGTCAGAGATAGAAAAAGAGAGAGGATGGTGTATGAATACTAACGTTGCCAGACGTCCCGTATTTTAGGGTTAGTTTTAGGGGTTAAAATGTCCCGGCGGACTGACTCTGTCCCGTATTCAAATCGTGCTCTGTTTTTTATTATTAAACCGATCTATCTACGCTACACAATATGTCATTTGTCCCGGGTAAAAAAATAAATTCCCGTATTTTTTTGTTAATTGAAGCGTTTGCCCCTTATAGGCATATATATAAATCTAGCAACTCTAATGATTACTATACATTATTTATGAGTGTGCTTATATCGGTAAGGGTGTTTTAAAATATTCATTTGATTGGTAACATTTTTAAGAATACAAATATATACTCACAATATTGCCATGTGGGTACACTGTGTTAGCTCTATGAGAGCCTGGTACCACGAACAGGGACCCGTTCTCGACAGTGACGTCATCGATGGCTGTCCACGACGCTATTATCTTGTCAGCTGGACGGAACGGGAAGTAGTACAGATCCTGAAAAGTAATAAAAGATAAGACAGAGAGATAATAATAACATTAAATTGTAAGAAAATGATGAGAGAAACGTTCTTAATTACATATACCATCAACTGCATCTTTTAAACTTAATAAGCTTGGCAATTTTGTAAGTGTTTCTCGCGTATTTGATAAGTATTAAAATCAATAAAATTAAAATAAATGATATCATTACATAGTTTTTATTTTATTTTTAATTACAATTATATGGCTTTTATATAAAAAGAGGTTTCATGTGCTAACAATGCTTAAACCTTTAAAAATATGCAACGGATTTTGAAGCGGTTTTTTTTTAAATATTAGGTTGTTCGGAGAGTAATATCGTTTTTTTCTAACTTAGGATTTAATTGTATTGTTTGCATTCAACTTCACACTTAAGCCGTAAAAATTTTATATGCTTTGAGAGCTCATATAGCAAGGCTTGTGTGTGAAAAATTATAATTAATTCTACGCAGTAGTTTTTGGTTGGTGCCCTTTTAAATATGGAGATCCATAAGCAGCATTTTCGACATATTTTACTGTTTTACTACAGAAAGGGCAAAAATGCTGTTCAAGCCAGAAAGAAATTGTCCTATGTGTGTGGAGAAGGTGTGTCAACAGTACGCCAGTGCCAGAACAGGTTCACTAAATTTCGATTCGGCAATTTTGATGTCGAAGATGCATCACCCTCGGGAAGGCCGGTTGAAGCTGATAAAGGCATTGATTGATGCGAACCGGCGAATTTAACTTTATTTTTCTAAAATAAAAGTAGCCTAAGTTACTCATTATTACTTCAGCTACCTGCCAATAAAAGTCCCGCCAAAATCGGTCCAGCCATTTCACAGATTAGCCGGAACAAACAGACAGACAGACAAATTTGTAAAAAATGTTATTTTGGTGTATATACCGTATTCATATGCATATGAACGTAGTAAAAAACGATTATTTCAATATTACAAACAGACACTACAATTTTATTTATATGTATAGATTTACCTGATGTGGCGGGTGTCTTTCACTGCCTGGGGGCTTGTTTATCAGCATGCTGTTCACGGCTGTTATCTCGTCACCAACGAACTGTGACAGCACGTGCAGAAGCCGAGGGTCCTCCACGTATCTCGCGAATACGTCGTCGTAGCAGATATCGTGAAGCTGTGAAGGAAGAATAGCATATATTTGTAAGTTACTAGCTGACCCCGGAAACGTTGTTTTGTCATATAAAGTAAAATCGCTATTAAAAAAGAGGGTTAAAAAATTTACAAATTAGTATTAGAAGGGTGAAAATTTAGGGTTTATGGGACACGGTTACCTAGATACATCAAAATAATAATTGCATTTAATAATGTCTAGTAAGACAAATTCAATATTGTCTATTAAGCTGTGTCTAAACTGTGTCACCCCACCTTACATTTTCCTATTGTTATTTAGTATATAAGATCATTATTTCTATGTACATATTGTCAGTTTATTAGCATCTGTAATATACATCGTCTCGACCAACAACATCGTATCATTAAACCGCAACAGGGTTATATGTATTTCTTTAATGCCACATTATAAAAAACAATAAAAGAAATTACTAAAAAAAATAAAAATAAAATGTCAGAGGTGAATAACCCTTAACATTTAGGGGTAAGAAAAATAGATAGTAGCCGATTCTCAGACCTGAATTTGCATGTAAAATTTAATAAAAATCGATCACGCCGTTTCGGAGGAGTATGGTAACTGACATTGTGATACGAGAATTTTACATCTATAAGATTATGTCTTATATATTTTGTAATTTTTCATTACTTTATATTACAATTTACTTTAAGAAAGGGGATTGTTAGTAATGTGGACTGACGATCTTATTTCTAGCAATGTACCACGTCATGTTGACCTCCACACGGGTCCCTGGAAACCATCGTGATATATTTTTAGTGAATTTATCACGATGGGCTAACTGACCTGACCTTATGTTCATCTTATCATGCTCCACTGGTGCCCCGCCAGCGTAAACCGTTAGCGAACGCAGGCGCACTATTCCATTATCATTTATAAAAAAAACACTTGTGTGAAGTCGGGGTGGGGAGCTGGTTTTATGTATTAGCAAACCCGGCAAGGCTAAGGTTCTTGAATAAAATAATATTGCGACTATAAATTGAGATGTAAGCTATCCTATCTTTCAAGTTAGTTCTAATTGCACACAATGTGCATAATAAATTAGCAATCGATTCAGTAGTTTAGGAGTCCATCGCGGATAAACAACGTGACACGTAATTTGTATATATAAAGATTAAAATTTTATTCCAATGTTGAACAAATATTGTTTTGCTTACAGTATAGGTAATTTGCATAGATTATTATTACAGAATACCAAATACTACTGTGTTTTGCTTTACGAGGCACAAAAAATTTGAAATATTCTAAAATTCTTATATAAAGTGGAATAGTATTACTGTGTACACCAAATTCTTTTCCAATACGATGAATCAATACTTTAATACGTAGATTTCAACTCCCAACTCAAGAAGGGTTTTTTTGTGTATGAAAGCATACTTTAAAAAATACGGATAATAATCGGTTCATTTATTTAAGAGCTACAATGTTACAGATAGAGACACATATACACAAATTTATAACACTGCTGTTTTGGCGTGGGGGTTCTAAAAACAATATTTTCAATAGTGCCCGCCAGCGGTCCATATTGAAAGAATCTTGAACAGGTAATTTTAATGAGAACAATATTATCTTACCTTATTGACATAATCTTCTGGTTTTAGACCCTTCCCGAGTAGTGACGGCTCCCTGACCACGGTCAACAGTTGTCCCCTTTCCACAGTCCCATTGCATATCGCCACAAACTGCTTTCTGTTAACATTAAATAAAAAAAAACATATATCTACGTTCCCCGTCTTTGTCTGAACAGGACAATGCATATTTCCTTATTTTAATTCAATAATGGTTTTACGAAATTGTGGTTAGCTGCGTAGCGGTATTCCTAGAGCATAGATAATAAAAATAATAGAAAGAAAGAAAATAGTTAAATATAAATAAAAAGTTTATTTGGTACACATAACAATATTAAAATTATTTTTAAATTTTAAATTATATATTGGATTGTTCTGTTTTGTAGTTTTCAATTTATATTTACCACTGACAAGGATCTTTTTAAGTATACACACACAAATATATTTAAGTAAATGAGCCAACCAGCAACAGAATATCAGCGCTGCAGATTTATCTGTAGCTTTATGCTGAGTTAGTTGCCTATTCACCTTTGCGGCACATAGAATAGAATATAAAATCCTGTATTCAAATAAACTTAATTTAAGCACTTTTGAATAGTCATAACATTCTTTTAATCTACCGCTTATTCGGAAAGCTGTCTCATCCCAAGAAGAACGAGCAGGAAACTTGTGTGTTGGATAAATTGTGGGCTGCAGTGGTGCCTCCCATGGAGATATCATTTCTTTTATGTATGCATTTATTTTCTTCTGTACAACAATATCAGAGCAATAATGTTTACTTACTTGTAAGCGTATAATGATTCAAAATCAATCAACCCTTTGATGACCAGGAATCCATTGTCGTTGTAGAATTTGAACTGTTCCGGAGATACATTGTAACCCGATATGCCAGTTGAGCATCTGTCCGTCAAAAAAAAACAAATTTAATAAGAATAAATATACATACTATATATGTGAGCTGACCCGGCCGACGTTGTTTTGCGATATAAATTAATATTGCTATTAAAAATAGGAGTTGGTGAAAATATAGGGTATGTGTATATAATCCTATAATTTCACCCTTCTACCATCAACTCCTATGTTTAAAATAGCATTTCTTAATGCCGAATTATAAAAGAAAATATATATATTCGTTATGGAGCAGCCCTATCTCTTGGTTTGAAAAATAGTTTACTGTTTATTCTTATACCAACTGAATATACACATAAAATATCATGAGAATCGCTCAAGCCGTTTCGTGGGAGTTTCGTTACAAATATTGGGACATGAAAGTCATATCACCCTCCATTAGAACTCCACCAGTGGATGTACTATTATCATCTATGAAAAAAAAACCGCTGTAGCCTAAGTCACAACCTCATACTTGATCCATGTAGACTGATATAGAATTAGGCATCACGAGTTTAGTCTGTCTCATAACTAGTAGGAGGTGATCGGATGTCTGATTGATTTCCGTCATCCTATCACTCTCTACTAGTAATCTATCAACGGATGTACAATACCATATCCATTTATTCAATAAAAATCACTGTCCCCTAGTATTCTATTCTTGCAGGTAATACATATTCGAACCCAGTATAGATTTAGGCATCACGAGTTCAGGCGGTCTGATAATAATATCAATCAGTCATCATATCACCTGCTACTAGTAACCTATCAGAAAAAGACAACACCATTCTCGTCTATTAAAAAAATCGCTACTTCATACTATTCTATTCTTGCAGCCTGAAGACTAATATAGATTTAAGCATCACGAGTTCAAGCAGTCGTATAATGATATCAATCAGTCATCCTATCACCCTCTACTAAATACTACCTATCAACGTGCATACAATATACCTATCCATTTACTCAATAAAAATCACTGTCCGCTAGTATTCTATTACTGCAGTAATAGAATACTACCGGACAGTGACTTCAAACCCAGTAGACTAATATAGATTTAGGCATCACCAGTTCTGACGGTCTGGTAATAATATCAATCAGTCATTTTATCACCTTCCACTAGTATTCCATCAGCGGGTGTAAGCTATTTTTAAAGAATAGCTGCCCTCTGGTATTCTATTCCTGCAGGTCATAGATTCATATTCGACCCCAGTAAACTAACATAGATTTAGGCATCACGAGTTCACCCCGTCTGATAATGTTATCAATCAGTCATAACTTACACTTATTATCATTGACCTTTATTAACATGTAATGTGTTCAATTCGCAAATAATGTTAGCAATGTAAGTTCAAAGTGTGCAGAAATTACTCCGACGGTAACAAAGATTGAGACGGACAAAGAAAATATGTCAATTTATATGTCTCTGTTTCACACGCGGGTACAATTTTCGGAGGTAAATAATTTATACTTATAAAATATATATAGCTATGTATATATATTTATATATATAATATAATAAGATTTAATCATAATAATAATCTCAGGACAATTCAGACAGCGCCATCTAGACCCAAGTTAAGCTAGCTAAAGCTTGTGTTGTGGGTACTAGATAACTAATACAAATACCTAGAATTTTTTTTCCTAAATACATACATAATATACATAGAAAACACCCAGACAGACACAAACAATCATACTCATGAATACAAATGTTTGTGCTGTGCGAGGAATCGAACCCGCGACCATCGGACGTAAAGCGGTGTGCTAGACCGCTAGACCACCGAGGTCGTCAAATATATACATATATAATAATAATAATAATAATATTATATAGCTGAAGAGTTTGTTTGTTTGTTTGAACGCGCTAATCTCAGGAACTACTGGTTCGAATTGAAAAATTCAATTTGCGTTGGATAGTTCATTTGTCGAGGAAGGCTTTAAGCTAACATACGCTATGACTAAAAGGAGCGGAGCTGCAATGGAACATATTGCAAAAGGTGGGGAAATGAAAGGCAGACGAAGTTGCACGGGTCAGCTAGTAGTTTATAAAAAAGGCTGTATTTTTATGGATGATAATGCTGTACTCGCCAGCGCTAATGGTATACGTTGATATGGAATCAGTGGAGGAAGATATAGCACAAAGTCAGTTAGTCCATCCTTGCAAATTCACCAGAAATGTGTCGCGATAAGTAGTTTTTTTTTAATTTACCCTTGACAACTCACACGGCGCCATCTAGTCTCAAGTAAAGCTAACTTAAGCTAATTATGGGCCCTGATAGATACATAGATATTTTTTTTCGTAAATACAGATTGTACATAGAAAACACCCAGACCGACACAAACAACCATACCCATGAATACAAATGTTTTTGTCGTACGAGGAATCGAACCCGCGACCATCGGAAGAAAAGCGGTGTCATTTATCGCTAGACCACCGAGTGCGTCATTTAGTCATTAGTTTCTAGGAGGAACCGTCAATTCTAGGTCAATTTGTATTCTCATGTTCAACCTAGCATCCTCCGCTGGTACCCCGCCAGTATATACTGTTAACGCAGATGACAGCATCATTCCATTATCAATACATCTTTACATATAAATAAAATTGGAGTGTCTGTTTGTAATATTGAAATAACCGTTTTTTACTACATGCATATGAATATAAATACGGTATATATATAGTCTGTCTGTCTGTTTGTTCCGGCTAATCTCTGAAATGGCTGGACCGATTTTAACGTGACTTATTTTGGCAGGTAGCTGATGTAATAACGAATAACATATGCTACTTTTATTTTAGAAAAATAAAGTTAAATTCCACGCGGACGAAGTCGCGGGAACAGCTAGTAATATGTTAAAAACAGAAGGCCCTTCTTATCATGTGACATAATTAATGATGTCTTAGTGACAGTAAATTAGGCAATGTGTTACATATTTAAGGTCCAAAATAAGAAGCAAAGGTTACGCAGATGTGACGTCTATATGTACATATATATACATATGAGGTTCCGATTGCGTTCGTTATAAAAAAAAATCTTATCGTTCAATAACTATAAAGTATCAAAGTACGAGATTGTTTACCATTGTCTATGAAAGTCCATATTTATACAATATGTGACATCTGAGATACAGTATAAGTTTTTATACTAGTTCAGATGGCACAATTACACAAAAATTGTAAAAAATGTATGTTAAAATTGTATTGACTCAATTTTATTTATATGTATAAATGTGTATATATGTACAACTTAATTATGTAACACAACCTATAACTGCAATAAATATTATTATTATTATTATGGATGATAATGAAATGGTTCACCCGCCTGCGGTAACGGTTTACGTTGACAAGGCACCAGTGGAGGATGCTAAGATGAGCATGGAATTTAATTTTGAAGTTTCAGAGAATGTTTCTCTCTTGAGTGCACACTCAGATTGTAGATGAACTGTCTGGTGAGGTTTTGTCTAGAGATTACAGTATGGAGTTTTTTTATCTATGCTTATAAATAAAATTGGAGTGTCTGTTTGTAATATTGAAATAACCGTTTTTTACAACATGCATACACCAAATTGGTACATACACCAAAATAACAATTTTTACAATTTTTGTCTGTCTGTCTGTTTGTTCCGGCTAATCTCTAAACTGGCTGGACTGATTTTGTAGCTGATGTAATAAGGAGTAACTTAAGCTACTTTTATTTTAGAAATATAAAGTTAAATTCCATGCAGACGAAAAAATGTATTTATTAATAAATAAATATCCCTAGACAATTAACACAGCATCATTTAGTCCCACTGTAAGCAGAGCTTGTGTTATAAATACTAGACAACTGATATAATTACTTAAATATTTTTTTTGTAAATACATACATAATATACATAGAATACACCCAAACTGATACAAAGAATTCATGAATACAAAAGCATATGAGATAACAAACTCGCAAACATTGGAAGTAAAGTGGTGTGCTAAACTGTTAGACCATAGAGGCTATAAATTTTATGGAGAGTATATTACAATTTGATAAGTTACCATAACCATCTACCATCAAATGTCAGATGTATGCTGGATTGTTACCACTATACTGTCCATGTTTTTTTTATAATCATGCAGTCTTCCATACTATAAGCATATTAGTTGATCATATCAAATCTCGTGAGACGTGATTCTCCATTGGGAATCCAACCTCAGATATTCCAGCTTATGCCAAGTTGTTGAAGTCTGGTATTTAACATCTTTTAAGACGTGCCATATAATCAGGGAATGTCAGTTGAACAGCAAGTTTATTCAGATTCCTGTCCAGTTTGATTTTGTATTTTTTTATTGTCTGTGAGATTTCCTCCTTGACAGAGGTGATCTCCAGGTGCTGATGAACCTCCAAGTTACAAATAAACCAGGGTGAGTTACAGGTTAGCTTCAATATGTAGTTATGAGCTTGAAGCAAACCTATAACCTCTAACGCAATACTATCCATGTAGATATATGTGCTATTCATTTACCAAGAGGCCATCTTGTATGATCAGTTCCAAACTGTCACTAGAATCTAATTGATTGTCTACTAAAAGCAGTTTCTGGATATTTTTTGTTTACAACATATACCTATATTATTTTTAGAGTACAAGCAAGTTTGTTATCAATGACAAAATATTGCAACAACCAGCCAAAATATTTTGTAGTCAAATATGATATAATTATATATATAACATGAACAGTTGTTTAGTTATAATTGTTACTCCTTTGTTATATTGTTTTTGTATTTATTTTCTATTATGTCTGAAGATGCATATAAAACATCTGTCTATATTAAATATGCAAGTTTAATCCTAAAGATAATGTTATAAGTACCCTACAGTGTAGACACAACCAAAAAGTTCTGTTCTTTTATATTAAAACAAATTAAAAAGAAATTGCCACTTACTTGTTTGGCAGAACTTTCATATTCCCAGACCACTTCATTTTTTAAAATTTTGTCACAAATAACTAATATCTACTAATCACGGTAAAATACTGTCCATTAACTAAACAGCAAGTAGGTATTATTATTTATAATGGAAAAAAATTAGAAACACTTTATGAAGGCTTAGAAGTGTGAAGTTTATTTTTTATTTATATTTATACGTTTGCACACTATTAACACATTTGGCATACTGCTTGTCGGGTGATGTTATATTGACGCCTTAACTTGTTATTTAAAATGTTATCTACATTCATGATAATACACAATCGTTTACGTATCAATATTTTAGTGATTTAATTTGTTTCTAACAAACAAAAGTAGGTATAAAGACAGGAGGTATATACCTCCAATCAATTGACAAACGTAGATTATTTTTTAGATTTTGATTAACCTGAGTAAGCTGTCAGTTTTGACAACTTCACATTAAAATTCACAACCTATATATATTTTTAAAACACCAAATTAAGGCAAAAGTACAATGTACGTTAGAGTTGTCACCCATAAGAGGACCCATGGAATCGCTATAAATTTTATTTAATAAGCTAACTAACAAGCTCCAAATGACCGTCTTTGTGAATGCATTGAGATTTTTAATGGCAGTTAAAAGCTTTTTCAAATAGTTTTTAGGGCATGATTTGAATAGACATGTTATTTTTTACTTACTATTTAATTCTATAATAATAATACTCTTTCAATTTAATTTTGAAGTACCTACCTACAAAAGTACGAATCTTCATCAAAATCATTATAGTAATTTCTGATATAATTTTCTAATCAATCATAAACATACATCATCGTTAATTATCTATTACATATGCGTATCTTTCTTTTGTGCTATTACGTATCAACTAAGGTTCAGCACAATACATTTTTTTCCTCTAATTAGTGTTAGCACCTATGTAACAAATTGTGGCTACCAGCTCATATATATGTATATATGAGCTGGTAGCCACAACTTCGTCTGTTTCTTTTTGTAGGTAGATAAAAGATGCTCTATCTTCGTGATCTATTTTCACGTCAATAAACCGTTGGTCGGGAAAATGTACCGAACAGACAGACAGAGATGCTTTCGCATTTTTCATTACTATGGATATGGGGGGCAGGGGATTGTTAGTAAAGTGGACCCATTGGTGGAAATGCTAGAAATGTACAACACATTTCTATAATTTCTACTATTGGGTTACATCTAACGGTATAATGCTGACATGTTAGGTTAGCTTCGGTACTACCTAAAATAATTTTTAACTTTTCAAGATATTTGGAATATTGCGATAATTTGGAAAATAATTATTTTACAGGAAAAAGTTACTAGACTTTTCGATAGAACTCAGGTAGGACCATCAGATCAGCTAGAACTCGTAAAAAAAATCTCCTATAAGTCAGCCTTAAAAAGTTAAAAATGGCGATAATTTGGAAAATAATGATTTTACAGGAAAAAGTTACTAGACTTTTCGATAGAACTCAGGTAGCGCTACCCAGAACTCCGATAAGATCGACTAGATTCTCCTATAAGTCAGTCATGAAAAGTTAAAAATGGCGATAATTTGGAAAGTAATTATTTCAAGGCTAGACATTTTATCATATCCACTGATGCTGGAACTCGTATTTTTTTTTTTTGTAGATTTATAGCAATAACCAAAATAAACCGTTAGCGCAGGTGGGAGTATCATTTCATTATAACTCGCGTCGGAAAAAATAAAATTTGGCATAGACAAATAGTAGTAGAACTATTGATATAACTGATAGAGAACTGTAGAACTATTTATCAACGAAGAAATTTGTGAACTATAATTTTAAAATTTGTTTTTTTTTTTATTTAAACAAACTATTTAAAATGATTATAAAGAGAACTATTCAAAAGGATGTCAGACTAAAAAAAAACAATTTTATACAAAGTAACGTGATGGTGGGACTTGGGGACCATCGTGGTAAATTACCATTTGATGAGTCGCTGATTTGATTGTTCAGGTTTTATAGCGCTTATCATTTCATTATAATTTTTAATATAGGTATTATATATATACTATTTTTGTATCTGAAAAACAGAACAATTTTTACATATATACTATTTTTGTATGTCAAAAAATAATTTTTACCGTACATCTAGAAATTTACACTCTTATCATAACGTACCGAATGCGTTCATTACGCTTTTTTATATTTATAATCCCTGGCGTATATAAGGTGGCGATGACATTATTTTTCTCGTAGGCCGTCATTCTAATTGAAATACGGTTGAGTAATTCTTTTTTTTATACTACTATGGTGGCAAACAAGCGTACAGCCCATCTGATGGTAAATGGTTAACGTAGCCTATGGACGCCTGAAGCAACAGAGGTGTCTCGTGCGCGTTGCCGACCCTTAAGCGTAAGGAATAAAAGGGTGGACCGCATTGATTGGCTATTCGTTGGCTACAAGGAGTTGACACTTTAGTAAGAGACCCTAATGACTAATGTTTTAATTATCATTCACAGACTTACAGCTGGTGATTTTAATTCTTATTTTAGCGTCACATCGTCATAGGACCACAGATAAGATAAGCAGCACAGAGTCATAATCCTATTGTAAAAATCACACTATTTAAAAGAGCAATCACAATCAATAAACGATAAATTGATGCGGACGTTTGCAAAAAGATGTGGGCACTTTCGAGAAGGTTTTCGCTTTATTGTCTTCTATATAGTTCTACCATAGACTAATAGTTAAATAGAATAGAAAATAATTTATTCAAATAAACTTACATTGAAGCACTTTTGAATAGTCATTACATTTTTTTTAATCTACCGCTCGTTCGGAAAGCTGTCTCATCACAAGAAGAACGAGCTAGAAACTTGCGTGTAGCTTTTTAAAATAATTTTATTATTACTTTACATTTTTAAGTTTAAGTGTGTGAATACAAACCACCAATTAGCATTAATTCAATTAAATACTCAAATAGAGAAAATATTGAATATATAACCAACTGGTTAAACAATTAATAAGAGGAAATCAGTCATAGTGATTGGAGCAGACCAGTCCCTACAAGCAGCACCCGTTCACGAATATGACGGATGAGCCAGCCATCACTGCGCTCGACCATATTTTAGGGAGCCCAATGACCCGGCCCACCACGCCGCCACAAGTCTGGACATTTTAGTGAGCATGACTACTCAAAACACTAGACCACGTCAAAGCTACTTACAATTGCCATCTGACAGTTATAGTATTCACATTTTAAATGAGAATGCATATGAATCAATCAATACAAAAACCGCTACGCTTTCATATTTCTAAAATCAATCAATTCAATCAAGAAAGCAATGAGAAAATAAAATTATAACGTTGTATGCTAATAAACTAATTATTTACAGGATAGACAACATATCAAATGTTGTCTATCCTGTAATAGGCTTTCTTACATAAAAATTGTTTAATATAAGATTGGAATTGCCTCTCTGTCTGATTTAATGCAGATTCTGGCAGTTTATTATAAAATCTTACCATAGAATGAATTACTGATTTTGTGCAGACGGCATTTAGGTAAGTAAATGGACCATAATAACAATTACTCCTTCTACAATAATGTTATACGTGGAATCAATGATGGGATGTATACGGGAGGGGATTTTTATTTTATTGAGGGAGTATTTGATTTTTTTTATCAATAATAGTGGAATAGTGTACACTCTTCAACTAAGGTAATCGCTGACGGGGCATTAGAGGATGAGAATGAAGCCTGGTCAATTAACCCAAAGTTGTATTTGACATAGTAGAACGCTAACCATGGGGTCACAAATCCTATTAGATAGATCCCATCTCGTAAATTAGTATTAATACTAGGTAGAGAATCCAGTAAATTACCACAAACATACGGTCAATTTTAAAAATCTAATTTTAATTCCATTTATATATTGAAATCTTATTTTCAAAATAATAAGAAATGCATTTTAGATCCTAATTACGTAATGAACATTAACGCCTAAAGAATATTAGTAGCAATCTGTAGAACTTCGTCAGTTGTAACAAGATTTTTAAAGTGAGTTTAAATACATGTAACTAATGATGTATAATAGGATACTGTCACGACTGTTATTCCAGAGGGGGCAGTCAAAAGCATTGTTAAAACTCGACCTCATGATAAATATAACACTATGGGCGCCAGATATGGGCGGAGGAGGCGGAGTTTTTTTATTGATAAGGTAATGGTACACCTGTCTGCGCTGGTTTACGCTGGCGGGGCACCAGTGGAGGATGATAAGATGAACGTGAGGTCAGGTCAGCCCATCGTGACAAGTTCACTAAGAATTTATCACGATGGTTTCCAGGGAGAACCGCGTGGAGGTCAACCTGACATGGTGCATTGCTAGGTCATTAGTCCACATTACTAACTATGCTTTCCCCCCCGGATCTAAGGGTTGGTATGGTATGAGTTAAAGGCCCTCTTACGGAAAACTGTTTTATTATCACAAAACTTTATACCCAACAATTGCGTGCTAGAAAGTGTGAAAGATGATGTGGCAAGAAAGGGAGTAAATAATGAAATGACTGCGAACAGGGATGAACGGAAAAGAAAATATATTACGCCGACCTCAAATGAAAGGGACAAGGAAGAAACAGATGATAATGTTATCAAAGGGAGTTAATTAGATATAAATTGACCACAAGTTCTTTATTTTTGGTGTAAGTCAAATTTGAACACACGACTTTCGAATCTAAGTCAAGATAGCATACCTAGTGCATGCACACGGCTATCTTTCTTTGGTACAATACCAACTTATAAAGAATATACAATATTATATTATACAGCGGCCAGGCTTAAACATTGGACTTCAGTATACGGCGTCTTGGAAATATCTTACTTATTTATCCCGGTGACTTTCGAAACTAGAGCCGTTTGGGGGGTAAAGACGATTTTTTTTTATAAAACAACTGCGCAAGTGTATTGTAGAGTGGCCATAATCCACTTTCCGGATCGTATCTGCTCAAAGAATTTCTACGCCAATTCATCGCGGAAAACTACAATGATTTTAATACTGCTTATAGCACTATAAAAAATAAATTGAGCACTTTTAAATAGTCATAGTTATGTTTTTTTAATTTATCGTACATTCAGAAAGCTGTCTCAACACAAGAAGCTTTCGAATAAACTACCAACTAGAACTAATTTATTAGTATCAAGCAACACTCTTCAACGAGTATGAGATATGAGCAGGTCATCATTGCGCTCGACCATATTTTAGGGTGCCCAATCACCCAGCCCATAATAAATATTAAATTATATATAGATGAGAAAATTGTATTTGTGTTTAAATAATTAAAAATAAATAATACATAATTGTGTTTATTTCATATAGACTCAATAAACACTAGGCTTCGAGTAAGCTCCGACAAATAATGGTAATTGACTATAAGAATTCACGATCATGAATAAGAAGGGTCTATTCGCAATGAATTCCTCATCCAAAGTTCTCCATCTCAAACCCGCTTCAGTCACCGCGGCTGCCTCGGTACCTTCTTCAGTTACTTCAATACTTGCTTTCTGTATAAAGTCTGATACGTATAGAATTTGATCGGACAACTCTTCGAAACTTGCTCCTGTGTCAAATAGACTCTTTAAACCCATATCGGTCAATAGTTCCTTCAAATTGTCCAGATCCGATGTTATCTTGAACCTCGGTATCTCCACTGTTACAGTTCGAGGTCCATCCATTTCAAACTTCTTGAATACAGTGGCTAAACTAATTTTGGATAACGAATATATAGTAGATGAAAGTCGCGTTCCAACGTTTGGCAGAAACAACAGCATAGAATATTGGTTATTTGAACCATAAGGCAATTGAAGAACTTTTGCATTTATTTGATCAATTGTGGTCACATTAAATTTATCATTCACATACATTAGATTCACTTCCCCCACTCTGTTACCTACTTCATCGTAAAACGACGCAGTGTCGGTGTTTGTTGTAGCAAATGTCTTGGTCCAAGTACCTTTGAAGTATAAGGCGTCGATTATAATAATATTGTAACTGTTAAAGTCATTAGGTGTCAATAAATCATCAATAACACCTTGCGTTACAAGACTTACGTTGTCGTTTACAGCGTTAGCTGATGTAACTGAGTCCTCGAAGTCTTGCGGGAATATTTCGCATAGTCCGGTATTTATGATGTTTTTGGTAAATCCATTCTTTAATTCAAATTCTTTAGGTATAACTATCATAGATGACCTTGCAACGGTGACGTCATTAGTGTCTAATATAGATTTTATGATCTTCCAATAATTTTCATTGAAGCATCGGTGCTTATGAGTTTTCAGTACTCTTTGTATTTCGTCGAGAGTTTCATCTGTAGCTCCTAATGATAGTTCCGAAATGAGAGTCCATTGCGAGAGCGTAGATGACACGAAATGGTTTTCCTTTTCTTGAGCAAGTCTTGTCGCTAAATTGACTGTAAAATCGTAGATAGGTCGTCTAATACGCATACTTGCTACTTCTAGTGTACATTGTCCTTTTGATTCGTTAATTAAAATTAAAGAAATTAATAGGAAATGAACAAATTGTGTCATGTTGACTGGGTCTGACAGAATTGAGCCAAATACTGAGTGTGGAACAATGAAATTTTACAATGCTGTTATCATTGTGACCTGACAAAGATAACGTCGAAAGGTTAGTAATTTGTGGTGATAATTTTGAGAAGGCCTAGAATTTAATTCTAAATATAGACCTATAAAATGATCGTGAATTAGATGGTGAACAATTTATTACATATGTATATATTTATATATGTACACTCCTTGCAAAAAGAGTACATGGAATATGAATGAAACAACGAACATAAATGGTAAATACTATAGTTTTAAAAAAGACATTTCAAATTAAATATATAAAATAAGCAAAGAATATCAAATCAATCCAACACTTTTGTAGAACAAACAAAGTAATAAAATTCTGTATATTGAAAACCTTTTATCTATCTATACGTCTAAGAAGACGTCAGTCTTTCTTTGTTCGCTGTTGTAAGATTTTTTTTATTGATAGAGATAGCTAAAAAATCAATTAATTTAGATTATAGCAGTTCGAATATTAAAATAAATAGATTGAAGTTAATTTTTGTACGGTACTGTAATTATTATTAATAGTGTTCCTAAACAAAGACGTCCACCTAGACGTTGATAAGCAAATATTATGTACCATTGTGTTCTGAAGCTGTGTACATAACTTCCTAGACCACAATTCTAAGAAACGAAGTGCAAAAACTACTTCAAATTCACCTTCTATTTTTAACTACTTATATAATTATTTTTTTATTTTCAAACGACTTTGGAAACGAGTAGTTTCTAATTGGTTTGCATTCTATTTTTTTTGTTATTAGAAAAGCAAACAATGTGTCGGCTCGTCTAAAGGTAAATGGTAACCGTTGCCTATATAAATGAACAGCACTACGAACATCATGGTAGCATGTGAGGCCCGTGACACAGCTTAGGCGTTGCCATTCCGGAGGTTACTACGTGATATGATTTCTTGTTTAATCTCTTCAATTGAAATACAGTTTACAAAGGAATGGTTTTTATCTCCCCAGGATGGAGTGTATATATCTAAAGAGATTGTTTATACATGAGTGGGGTACAACCACAGGATGTGTACTGGCGTTTCCTCTTCAGCCTAGATTTGCAATGTGTTTATTAAATTTACAGTGTTTAGTAAAACACACTCATAGACAAGTCTAACTTTTCTACGAGTGCCAAATATCTAGACATAATAAAAAAAATGTATGAATCTCTGTATACATGGAATAATGTATTTATGTACATGGAAAAACTATTATTGGAGGACTTTATCATACATACAAAAATGACGGCTCCGGTGGTCCGGCGATTTAGCACATCGCTTTTACTTTCCGATGGCCGCGGGTCCGATTTCTCGCACCGTTTTAAAATGATCAACTTCTTTTTCTTTGGTTTTCGTTACACAAAACGTTGTTATAATTTGTATAGTATAAATGAATGGAATAGAATTGAATAGAAAATCATTTATTCTATCATTAATAAACTTAATTTAAGCACTTTTCAATAATCATAACAATGTTTTTTTTTAATCTACCGCTCATTCGGAAAGCTGTCTCATCACAAGAAGAACGAGAAAGAAACTTGTGTGTTGCTTTTTTAAATTATCCTTGTAAGTTCACCTTTTAGAATTCTAAACGTGTGAATACAAACTACCAACCAGCACGAATTTATTAGGGTCAAATATAAATACACAATAAGATTAAATCAGTCGTAGTGATAAGAGCAGACCAGTCCCAGAAGCGTCCTTCACGAGTACGACGGATGAGCCATCACTGCGCTCGACCATATTTTAGGGAGCCCAATGACCCGGCCCACCACGCCGCCACATGTCTGGATATTTTAGTGAGGAGGGAGAATGTAACTGATAATGTTACTCTGTTCATATATTTTGATAAATTCATGAGGCATCTGTTATTGGCTTTACTAATTATTATATGTAATACTAAATAATGTGTATAACATTACCTAAATAAATAAAAATCACACTAATTGCGGGTAACAACTTACAAAAACAATGAAGTTTCCTTTTTTAACACAGATTCTATAACATACATTCACATATGTTACGTAATATTCGCAAATAATGTAAACTACTTACTAATTTAATTAAAAAAATCATCATGGTTGTCAACCTATAAAATATAATACAGCGTCGTATAAAGAAGTAAAAAAATACGTTTAAAATATCGTGTTCCGCTTAATTTTGTTCTCTAACATTTAATATTTTGATTGTAATGACTTAGTGCTATTTGGTAGTTAGTATTCAACTTCAAAATGTAAAGCTACAACAATTATTTAAAAGAGATTTTTTTCTCGTTCTTCTTGTGATGAGACAGCTGTCCGAATGAGGCTATTTGATAAGGCATGATGAATTTATGAAAGTTATTATTGAGGGAAAGAGGGGAGAGGAAGACCAAGGCACATCAAGCAAATTAAAGATAGAATTGGAGTCGTGATGTATCAACGTTTAAAGAGTATGATGGAAGATCATAGAATGTGGCAAGAGCTCCACCGACAAGAGCGTCGCTCTTAAATTTTGAATGAATGTACTTATATTTAATTTTTTTATAACACAGGGGACAAACAAGAATGCGGCTCATCTGATGGTAAATGATTAGCGCCGCCCATGAGCACCCGCAACATCAGGTTAATTGCAAGTACGTTGTCGGCCTTTTAAATAGGAATAAGTTCTTTTCTTGAAGGTTTCAATATCGTATCGATTCGGAAATACCATTGCTGGGAGGTGATTTCACAATGTGATTGTGCGTGGCAAAAATATTTAAATTTAATTGAATGAAGAATTTTCTATTTTATTCGTACCTACGTCAATGTATTTTGATCGATTTCCGTAGGTCAAAATCTTGTACAAACTTGTACGAGGATGGAAACATCCTCGTACCTACTCAAGGGAACAAAACTCGTGTTTGTACGAAAATAATCTTACTTTTGACATCCTTGATTTCCATGCAATACACTATATATTATGCTTGTATTATCGTGTCTAATTTCTAATGAATTCGCCACGATCGCTAATAGATCTAACTTCATCATACGTCATACCGTCCTCTTTTATTCCGCGAATCATTATCTACATATGTTTTTGATTTCTAACACATGCGCCAACAAGGACAATTAGACTGTATGTTTATTTTAATCTAAATATATGTAACTCAAAGGTGACTTACGTAGTGATCTATCAACGCACAGCCCAAACCACTGGACGGATATGGCTGAAATTTGGCATGTAGATAGATGTTATGACGTAGGCATCCGCTAAGAAAGGATTTTGTTAATTCTACCCCCAAGGGGATAAAATAGGGGATGAAAGTTTGTATGAAACTTTGTCAATTTTTACCGATCGGTCTGAAACTTTGCATGCATAAAGCTACTATAACATAGGCATCCCCTAAAAAAGGATTTTGATAATTTTCACCCCTAAGGTGATAAATTAACGCGAGCGAAGCCGCGGGCAATAGCTAGTGATTTATATTTTACACGTTGTATTTGTTCTTATGGATGATAATGAATTGGTGCACCCGCCTGCGCTAACGGTTTAAGCTTGCGGGGCACCAGTGGAGGGCAGAAAGGCCAGTTAGCCCATTGTGATTTTGTCATGATAGTTTCAAAGGAGAACCATGTGAAGGTCAACCTGATTTTTTGCAAAAATGGGGTTATTAGTCCACATTACTAACAATCGCCTTCCCTGCTCTTATTAGAGGCAGTTTTAATAGTCCGGTTCTTGTAAATGGGAACTATATTGTATCAAAACTTTAATACTTTAATAACAGTCAAGAAACGGTTTTATATTTATTAGTTAGTTGTATATTCAATATTTTTTCTATTTGAGTATTTAATTGTATTAGTGCTAATTGATATGATAATAGATAATTGTTTGTATTCTCACACTTAAACTTAAAAATGTAAATTAGGAATAAAATTATTTAAAAGAGCAACACACAAGTTTCTTAATCGTTCTTCTTGTGATGAGACAGCTTTCCGAATGAGCGGTAGATTAAAAAAAATGTGATGACTATATAAAAGTGCTTCAATGTAAGTTTATTTGAATAAATGATTTGCTATTCTATTCTATTGTTTATGAAGGACTACTGGCCGATGGGTGGTGTGTATCGGCGCTACCGTGGCAGATTACCATCATCTGTGATCACACAGACAATTTTTATCACAGTATATTATTTGTTTATATTAAATTTAATATCTTTCATATGTGGTATGTATTATATTATAGTGCACAACTGTTAACTAGGATGTTATAATGACAAGACACTTTACGAGACTGATTCTTTATTATATTGACGGTGAACATAAAATATTAATAACAATGTACCCACATATATGCCATTCTTCCCCCCCTAGCTACAAAGTAATATATACATAATAATTATTTACTTGTAGATATATAACACTGTAACGAAAAGAAATAACCTAAAACAATTATATTTACTACACCTGTACATACCATAATACTTAATCTTATATATAAAATTTTACGTTCAATTAGTATATTAAAAAAAAACTAAATCTAAAACTAAAAACACTGAAACAAAAAAAACGTTTAACTTTAAAGTTCAATTAGTATAAAAAATAACTAAAATTAAAAAAAAATACAATTACATATTAAACCAGTTGTCTTATGTAAGTATAACAGTAATATACTACGCTTACTGGTGTACGCATACACAAATGGAAAAATGTACAGCTTGTGTGAAACCTAAAATATTTGTAAAAATTATTCATCCATTCCATATCTTGACACCGGTTTGCGTATTCGAATTGAACGCGATCTAGGGGCATCGCCATCGGGTGACTCATGAGTCCCTGGCGAAAACCTGTGGGTATAGTGACCGCGGGCCTACCGGCTGTGTCTCCGTCACGGGTTCAATATCGGGTTCAGGTAGATTTTGGTCGTTGTTGGACACGATTTGACCGCTACTGATTGATGCAGCATCCCCACTCGATCGACGTTCATAATCATATAATAAATTTGAATCAATACTATTA